TCATTTAACAAGATTTGGTGGAATAGCACAACACTAGCAGAACGCTGTCAAATGCTACAATCTCTAAGAAACGCCTCAGGCACTATATTGTCATTTCATCTTCTAGGGTGGTAACTATCAATAATTCATTAGTTACAGGTACTAATGCTAAGTCCTGCATGGAACAAGATACATGTTACTGCTTGTCCAAGGTGCAAGAATGCATAAACAGGCCTGTATGATTCAGTCTGGAAAAATACTATTTATCATGTGTGTTGTTTTGATTGAGACATAATATGTATAATTTTCTATTAAAAATATACTAGAGGTTGAGACAGGTTCATATGTRTACATGAAAAATAGAAATACAACCCCAGGAACAGGAGACTGTTCTGCATACAGAGCCTAGAGCCCACTCTGCAAGAAAGTGATTAGAGAGAGATGCAGCTCTTCTCAYCAAAAATCTAAAGTAAGCCTCCACACTCCACCAGACTGCTCTACTTGCTAGGTGGTTGGTTAGGCTGAAAGACCAAACAAGCTAAATACAAGCCAATATGCAGACAAGAATACAATATTTATTAGATTAGAAGTAAACAGCATGACTGTAACTAAGTGGTAGGGAAACTTGTTCAGCATGGGGAAACTTGGGTTGCAGCTATACAGAACAAGCTGCTGTAACTCCTGCCTGCAGCTGCACTGTCAGCTATATTTTCACTGCACTGTTTTCAGAGAAACATAACAAAGAAMCATGAGATTATTCATGAACATATTCAACTTCAGGAACATTATGTCAAGGATGTATGTTGTAGGTGAGGAAGAACCAAAGACACAATGAACTCTAGAAATAGGACCTCTAAAATTTAACAAACTCTTCCCACATACAGTAATTACGCAGGAAAAGTGTGAAGTCAGGTTACTGAAAAGATCACATCTTCTCAAATTAAATATATTCTTACAAAAATTACTCTTAGCAGCATTCAGTATGCAGACAGTATTAATACTCTCTGAGTTGCCCAAATAGCATCTTAGAATATAATTTCTAATGATTCAATTAGTAATCACCAGTATTAAGATAATTTACCTAGTGATATTTAGCATTTAAATGAGAACTGAAGAAGTTGTAGGTGGAAAAGAAAAAGAAGCTATGAATAGTATATGAATCAATTTTTGGTGTGCATATTGGGAAAAAATTATTTCCTTTTAGTGCTCACTTTGGGCTTATACCAATATTAGCAATGCAGTAGGTTACAGAACAGATCTCTGCATGACTGCAAAATGCTGCACTGTGCTTTAGCAAATCTCTGCTGCAGCACAGAAACGTCATGCTGCAGCAATACAAATGAATGAAAAATAAATACATGAATGAAAAGATAATCACAGGAAAACTAARATCTACATTTCTGTTGATATAAATGCTGTACAGTGAATCAATTTCATGAAATGAAATTAAATTCTTATAAAAYAATTACATCACTATAACTTCAGGTTTAAGTGAACAAACCACAGTATTATCTCTTTAATACTTATTTTAAAAGATTTTGAAATGACAAAACATTGTTGAATATATTTCAAGTCAATATATATCTAAATCTACTTTATATGTCTGAGACCTAATAAAAGGTCTCAACTGGAGTAATGAAATGATTTTAAAGTATGTATATTTTARAAGAATTCTTTCTTCCTTTAACCCTGAGTTTAGTGGGGACACAGTAACATTCTGTGTTTCCCTGCATAAGTAAGATGTTATTAAAAAAAAAAATGCAGTCTAAGAAAGGAAAATGTCTAGTAGATGGGAGATTACATGGGATAGTAGACTTAAGTTATAAGCCTAAAAGAATATATTGCTTATTTCTCTCAGACTCGATGAAACAGTGGATATAAAGGGTGTTAAAGTTTATCTTTCAGGTGCGAGTGACATGGCAGATCACTGAGCWGGTGGCAACTTTAAAAAGATGCTTGAAGAAGTAATGCAAGTGGCAGGAGGAGGCTCTCTCTCTCCCCCAGAGCACATACTTGATACTCTCTGGCTTCCCAAAGGGGAATAAGAATAGCTGTACCAGAGACTGATAATTTTATCATTAAGTTCAACAACAGCATTAGAAGCAGGCAGATTTTTCTTGTATGAAATGTAATAGGTCATTCACCCAAAGTTGGAGTGCACATGACCCAGAGAAATGTGACAAATCTCTCATCATCACGCATTCTTGAAGTACTACAACTTCATTCTCACATATTAAACATATAATCAGACCTGAACTACATTGTGGTCACATCACAGCTGAAAATTCATGACTATGATATAACCATATGTCATATCTTGCTGCTCCAGCAATAAGTGAGATATTTAATACCAATCATTTTTTAAATAAAGATTCCCAAAGACTTTGGCACTTTGATTGGGGATCAATTACTTTTTCTTATAATAACACAGGTAAGTAGACATACATCCACATATGCTCATCTTTAGTAAGAACAATCCTTTTTTAAATCTCTTATTTCTAAATAGAAACTTTGATGACTGGGAGAAATTGCATTATTATATTATTATATAACTGAAGATAATCATCTGAACACCCTTTTCTTACTATTTTTAGTAATACTGTTAAAAACGATCTTGTCTAGAGCTAGTTGGGAAATAAAGAAAAATACTTCAATAAGGTACTGAATTTCCTATGTTCATGCTGTTTACCATAGCACAGATTCTATATTCAAAATAAGTATCAATGGTACAAAAGTGTATATTGCTTTCATGTGTTGGCAGGAATTCTCAAAAATTTAAAAAAAAAAAAAATCAAAAATCTATAGATACTATGAACTCATCTGTACTCAATTCATTAAATATGTAACATAAATTTAAAAATCAAAAGTCAAATAAAACATTATCTGTTCTCTAATAGAACAACACCAGAAATGGGAAACTCAAGGAGGTGTCCACAAAATAGAAGCTTATTGGATATGTTCTGTTCTGAATCTCAGCCTCTTCTATAGGTCTATGACAGAAAGTAGGATAAAGTATAAGTGAAAAGGAGGACAGTGAAATAAGCTGACAGACAATCAGCCATCTTCCTATGAGTGGAATTAATGACAAGGCTTGTCTATTATTTTAATTGTCATACATATTGCTTGTAAAGGTAAAGAAAACAGATTATGAAGAAAACGCTTTACATGTATAACAAAGGTAACAATCTCTACTTTTCTTGCCCACTTTCTTGCCCACTATTTCAGGTTAAAGTGCAAGGTCTTTCCATAATGAAAAGAGATTTTTTTGAGGGGCTGCTTTGATTTCTTTAGTAATGAGCTGATAATATCTGTTTTACCAATTCCAAAATACAGAGCTTTGAACACCAGACTGCACAGTTTCAATGTCTGAAAATCCTACCACTTGTATAAAACGATGTAAACAACTTCAGTTCTTAATATACATCTGTACTGCACTTGAAACTGTTGTTTAGAATTCAACAGAAGCAAACACAATCCTTTTTGCAAAGTATGGAAAGAGTAGAAAGAGTCCTTTCTATTAGAAAGGAATGAGGGGTCCTTATAACCACACCCCCCTCTCTTAATCAGGCATTTAATTTTCCCCTGAATTTTCTGGTGTGTAACAATGTAGTCCTCCCAAAGTGTGTAAGTTGTACCATGTGTACATCTGTATCCTGGAGATATGTGACTCTTTTTGACGACCGCCAGAGGTACAGTCTACCCAATAAAAGTGTGTGAATTTAAGCAGTTAAAGTCTTAAAATGCCTCAGTCTTCATGTACTACATGACAACCAAGGCACAYGCATTTTGAAAAACATTTCAAAGGTACTTGAAATTTAACAGCATACGAAATACCTAAATCTGAGGGTTTGAATCTCATTTATAATTACAATTTTACTGCTGAAAGAGCTGTTAATTCTCAATTCAAAGAACATACTGACAATTCAAGTCAAGATAAACTGACAATTCAAAGAGATGATACTGAAAGACTTAAAGATCAAAGGTAAAACACTAGACAGAACTTTAATGAAATGAACACAGTCGCTCTGAAAAATCCTGATACATGGAGGTACTGCTAGTAAGGAATTAGATGATTTTATGTGAAAGGATGTTTCATTGTAAGCTTATCTATATAGCCCTTAAAATGGACTAAAAGAATTGGAATTCCAGAAACCTGGAATGGACTTGTCATGTCCRTTTTTGCTAGTACATCCAGAACTATACACAGATACAGGAATAAACTTTTAGTGTTAAATTGCAAGAGAGATATTCTTCCTTTTCTTCCTCTGGAGTATATGTGTTTGTTTACTTCCTCTATAACAATCCTGGAAAATAATTTGAATGCAGATGGACTAGGAGTAGTGCACTGAGAGGTGTCTTACACCATTCACTGTTGGAAGAGGACTACTTTCTTGCTTGCCTTAGTGAAGATACCTCCAAGTTTCCATCTTCAAAGAAAGATCCAGCTGTATAAGACCTGAATCTAGCTGTTACACACTGCCTGTATTTTTCTCATCTAATTCTTCATTTGATAGGACCTGTATGCTAGAAGTCGTTTTTTAAATATCAAAAGAAAAGCTAACCACCCATAAGACTACCATTGAAACAGGAGTTTTAAATGCAGGTTGAAAACGTGATTGTGATTAGCACAAACTATGCTGAATTATCTGAATACCAAGAGCAGCAAGCATACTTTATCTCTTGAGATTGATGGTGATGTGAACTACAGAAAAATAACTGTCAGAACACAGTAAAATAATGTATAAAATTATTAGTAAATCATTTGATTTAAATATAAATATCTTGCTATTAATTAAGCTAACTCTAACTTCTATAAGAGATTCCTGTAGTGTTTATTTTGAAATCTCTTTTACATTCTGAAATTGTAAAGATTATTACAGATAAAAAATGTTTCTACAGATAAAAGTCAAAACTACAAAAATATCTCTGTTTAGTCTGACTTTGCTATGTAAATTCATATTGTTGAATGAGTATTTGGCGTCTCTAGACAAAAGCTTCAGAGATGCAAAATACTACCTTACCTGAGAGCTGATCATACGTTGTGATGAACGAGCAATATTAGCAGGCAGGCCAAAAAATTCAGGTTTATCATCTTCTGGAAGGCTTTCAATAATATTACGATAATCCTACATTAGAAGAAAAGAATAAACAGAACTGAAAGAAGTATTGTAGAGTCAATCAGACTAATGGTCTTGGAAGCCTCTTACGGTGGCTCTAAGGACAAGCATTTGGTATTTGAAATTCTGGATGCACCTTAATGCATTATACCATGTGCACTTGGTCCTTGATCCTGAACACATTCATATTGCACTCTGATTAATTATCGTAAGCAATCTTATCGAGTGTTGCAAGATCAGGTCCCCAGTTTACCTGATGTACTTGGACATGAACCTTAGTTCTGAGAAAGCTGTAAGAGCAGATCTCTTCAATGAACACTGGGGGAACACTATTTGGAAAGATATATATGCCAAATGACATAAGTAATCCAATTTAGTTTTATTTCTAGTGTTCTATTCATTAAAACTACTAAAATAAAAATATTTCAGGCACATAAATGTATGGAAATTTTACAGTAATAATCATAAAACTATTAGAAATAGCAAGAGATTAAAGCACTGCAAAAAAAGAAGAAAAGTTCATCTATTTGACCAAACTATCTACACAAACAGATGTCTGGCACATTTACTTCCCTTTTTATTATACTAATGCAGCTCTTCTACATAAAACAAGTATATAACATACTGAAATAACACATTTAAAATAAAAAGTAAACAAACTTGAAGCCTAGAAAGTCAGAATTTAGATAGAAAAATGACAGTAATTTAACTGGCATAGTTTCATAGTACATGAGAAGATAAGTCAACAAGAATATTACATCAAAATATAAATGAATGTTAATAACAATAATAGTAATAGTAATGATGATACTAGCAGTAGTAATGATAACAATAAGTAAAAGAATAGAGAGAAGCAGTTCTTCAGATTCAGGTGAACTGCCTCTCATTTACATTCCTGAATATCAAAGGAGATATTTGGATATTTATCTCAAAAAAAAAAAAAAAAAAGTCATACAACATCCAGAGCATATCAGCAAATTATGCCAGATTGTTAATGTATTTTAAAAATATTTACAATTTATATTTCCCCATTTCATCTAGAAGATAAAAAAAACAGTGTACTGTACAACAGTGCTACTAGGTTAATATACTAAATTATTAAAATGTAATAATGATCTCCTTTGTTGAAAGAGACTCAAGTTAATTTATTCAGTTCTTCATAGCTTCTTCATACTGGTTTTCATCATAATTCTATCATATACCATAAAATAAAGACCATGGTGGAACAATCTAGCAAAACAGTTCTGACAACAGAGGAAATATTGTTCCACACAAAAGAATTCTCAAAGAAATGGAGGTATCATTTGCATTACATCTCTGGCTTTGCTTGTAGACATAATGCTCTGGAAAATAATCTGTGTCATTTTCTATATTAGATAATAAGTGATGTACACCTACCAAAACACTGCAGGAATTCGGTAAAGAGATGGAATATGGGAATCTAGTCATCTTCTTGCCTCTACCATTTGAATTGCCAATGATTCTTGTATTGAAAAGCTGCTCCAAATAGGATCGAAGAACCCTCATATCAAAGTAGTTATCTATACGACCTCCATAAATTGCATTTTCAAACAAGCCATGCACAAATTCCCATTGAAAGTCTTTGGAATCTGTAAATTTATTTTTTAACATTGCATTAAAAGCATTTCTTTTTGTCATCACAGTTATTCTTCAGTGAAATACAAAAATACAAATACACAAAACCACAAATATATTAAATACAAATACATCATTTCCAATTGTTTTCCTTCTCTACCACCAAGTATTATAAGTGGCTCAAGCTCCACTTAGTTTGTAAATATTTTTCATTGATAAAACTAATAAATATTGTGTTTCAAATCAAAAATGAATTCTCAGAAACATAAATGATGTTTTGAAGAACAGAACTACTCCAAACAAAGAGACAATATAAAATAACCAAATTATAGAAATAAGTGGGAAAGTATTCAATATTATAAAAAAAAATAAAATTTCAGAGAGGTCAGGTTATGGTGATGAGTAAGCTTCCCTTAAAAAAAGTACTTACCCTCAAAGAGTCTATCAATAATGTCGAAACCTGCACGGAGATCAGATAAAGAAAATTCGTAGAATTTGGTCCAACCCTAAAATTTAAAAGGAAATTTTAAAAAAAGTTACAAAATTATGCTCATGAAGTACAATGAAGTACATCTTTAGAAACATTCAGTTGAGGTAGTGCAATAGCAGTATCCTTACCAACGTATTTAATTCYACACAACTATACAAATTAGAAACCATCGAGTATGAAGAATTTAAGGTTCTTTTAGTCTCTAACACCATTTATGGTAGCTAAAATTTCTTGATAGTGTGATTAGATCACTCATTAAATTATTAYTTCGTTTCTGTTTTGCTTTTTTTTTAGGTTTTCTCTGAATTTTAGACATCCTCCTTATTTCATGTCACTTCTACATTGACAGAAAGAAATTACAATGAGAAAAGGAATTTCTACTCGTACAGCAGGAATGCTGACTGCCAGGTCACATCTGCAATTGGTCAGAAGATCACAATCAAGCTATGTGCCAGCTGCCAGTCACCTTGAAGATCAACTTGAAATTTATTTATAAAATAGAAGTTTTTCGCTGGCATTAATTACAGTCCAGCAATGGTAGGAACCAATAGCCTTAAGCAAAACATAAAACAAACACTGCACAAATCTGCAGATGAGACAAGCAGTTACAGGAGAAAGAAATATCCTTATCTCAAGCGACATAAATCATTTGGAAACCTGATGGCAAATGACTATCAGTCTTAAGACAGMCAAATCATAGGTCATGCATCAGATAGCATTTGAAATGTTTCCACCCATTCCACTTCTTGAACATATCCAAAGTCAAACTTTTTGCTGAATGTTCTTGGAAGAAGCAGATGAATCTACAACTCATAAACTAAAAAGAAGCAAAAGCTCAAAAGTTCCAGTCTCTGACAGATCAAACCCAACAGAAGGCAGGTTATTTTCATCATTAATCTAAATAAAAAAAGTCATAGAATTTTTTTTTTTATTTCTGTTAATTTAAATGCCCAAAGCCAGAAAGTATTTGTTTTAAGAAAAAAAAAATTAGCTGAGGAAGAAACAATTTACAGTCTTGGAAGTCCACTATAATCCTTGTATAAATGAACATATTCTCCTGTTATTCCCTTCAACAGGATTTACATTTAGAAAGAGAGAAGACAGTCTTGCTTGATCTAAATGCCTCCTCTTYTGTACAGCTTCCACTATTCAGAAGGCATAACTGTTACTTGCATCCATTCAACAATGCATGTTTCCAAAGTGTGTTTAGAAACCAGTTTCTGCCTTGCCTCCTAGAGAGGAGGTTTATTTTTTTCTTGTCTCTAGCAGGAAGAAATCACAGAATCTTTTCCATGGCACTTCACTTCCACATCAGGATCATCTAGGACACAAATCACACAATACCTGCAGTATCTGTCAGAAGGCACTTTACACGGGCCAAGAATTCAGACTACCAAGATCTCATTTTACAGGGAGTTCAGAGACAATAACAAAAGTAGGCAGCAGAAGCATCCAAGCCTTTCTCATCTCTGAACATGACCACACATAAACGTGAGGAAAAACACTTCCAAGTACAAAAACTAACAAATAAAGTTTTGTAAAATGTTAGCAAACAAAAAGTTACCTGAGGAATGTAATTTCTTCTTTCTTGGCAAACAGCATGAAACCACGCTAAGCAAAAGAGAGAATGGGCTCGACACAAATTTCCCTTTTTATTAATTTGCTCTGGCATCCAAGATTCATAGGTTCGCAAGAGATTCTTTTTCAGACCTGGAGGTGCCTGCATCAGGAGGAAAAACAGTTTGCTCTGTGCATATTGTTTTATATTTTCATTTATAGTTTTCTTAAATTATAACTCTTAAATGACTACTACTATTTAATTTTTGAATCAATCAAATGAAATCTAGCAAACAAGGGAGAAATCACCTTATAATAAATGGTCTAACAACAGAATGATCTGTACCAAAAATAATGTAAAGATACTTAAGGAAATTACAATCAGAACCAACTGTTAGGAGGACCTAACTACAAGTATATAGTGATGAATACTAGTCTATCAAAATATGTGAATTTAAAAATAAGTCTTTTTTTATTTTTTTTTCCTCCACACACATATTTCTCTTCTGGTTTCATAGCTTGTATAAGCTTTACTCCACTTCTCATTTCTGTGATCAGAGCTAAAGGGATATGTGCCCTTGGAGCACTCTGTAGCTTGCACAGAGATACAGTAGATATAGATGGTAAAACATCATTTCTCTGATTTACTGCTGGTAGATACAGCCACTAGAAATAACCACATTAGAAATAACCACAGGTAAAGACAACATAATAAGAAAGATTACATACTAAACACTAAAAATGATTAATTAGATACCTAGCCATTTTCAAATGATTTGTAGAGAAGGCAGAGATAAAGTTTAAAGAGATTTAAATCACATTAATATTTATAAGAGTATTTTCTTTTCTTTTGAAAAATGATTGTTAATGTTTGCATGAATTTACTATAAGTACAACAGAATTATAAAAAAAAATCTTACAACAATTGAAAAACTACATATTTTATGATTTTGTTTTAAATAAATATCTACTTCGTGATCAGCCACAACTCTAAGGCATACCACAACCATATAATAATCAATTATTATGAGACAAGTCATTGGCCATCATTGCTCTCTTATTATAACAAAAGTATTTGCTTTACTCGAAAAGATAAGGAATAGAAAGTTGTATCAGTGAAGAGTTCCAGCTGTTCTGAAGACACTGAGTCCAACACTTTCAAGGAGTTAGATTAAAAAAAAAAAAAAAATGACAAAATATGCATAGTTCTATAGTTTCTGCACTACTGAGGACNGTTCTGAAGACACTGAGTCCAACACTTTCAAGGATAGATTAAAAAAAAAAAAAAAAAAGTGACAAACTTGCATAGTTCTATAGTTTCTGCACTACTGAGGACCTTGTTACAAGTAATATGCTATCTCACAAAGTTAAAAATCAGCCCTCTCATCAATATAAAAGAGTAAAAATTTTGGCTTCTTGAAATTCAGCAACATTGGACCCTAAATCAGATATTCAGGACATTCAGGAAGAAGAGAGATTTCCTCTGTTCTCTTTCTTGCTCCAGCTTCTTAAAAGCTTTAGCTTTAAAGAAACATTGATTAAATGCATAAAATACTTTGGAATAGAAATGAGAACAAATACTTCACCATGGTAAATTAATTTTCATTTCAGGCTTTCAATTTGAAAAGGTATCTAGAAGAAAATCTTATAAATCTCCCTGTGAAAGCATAGCTTCAGCAAACTTTCACACACAGTATTAAAAACATGAAAACCTTTCAGGATAATTCCATAGCATTTTTGTTCTACTTTTAATTAACTAATAAGGCAAAATCTATCATACAAGCAGTTCACATTATCTGAACTTTATTCTAACTAGATGTTTCGTTCACTATGCATTGAAGTTCTTTTTTTGTGAACATGCAGTGAAAGCTCTCCAAATATATCTTACTTCATAAGTTATTTTCAGGCTTGATTGAAGCAAAATTGGAGTAAATTTTGGATGAACTTCTGCAGTAAGCCAAAGGCGAAAGTTCGGTTGAGGCTGTAGCGTATTCAGTTCCTATTGAAAAGATGTTATTTGCAAAATGGGAATTTAAAAGCCATGCCTGTGTAGCACTTTAAAAATACAACCACTTTACAAACACAAGGTTACTTAATAAATGCAGTTACAAATGCAAAAGTCACAAAAATATACTTCAAGATCTGATGTTTTTACACATTTTATTTATGCCTTACATTCAAAGTTCATCTGTGTTGCATCAAAACATTTTCAACGCTCTTTCCTGATTCTGAATTCAGAGCATAAAAACATACAGGAGCTTCCTCTTAAATACAAGATGAAAGATCTTAAGAAGAAGAGTTGGACTATGGGTCACTAGTTGTGTGCCCCAACATATAAAATTGAGCCAAAATTGAAGGGCCTCTAGCTGGACTTCGTATCACTGATTACAACCCTTTGAGCCCAGCAGGTCAGTCAGGTTTCAATCCATTTCACCGAGTTACTACTAAATCTGTATTTCATCACTTTATCTATAAGAATGTTGAGGGAGATCCCATATGATATGTAAAGGATCTAGAGTCTTGGATGTAGGATATTTAAGAAAAAATGCAATATGCTAGTTCAAGCAGAATCATCCGCAGGGTATCCTGCAGTTATCATGTTTGGCTAGAAGACAGCTAAGAGAAGTCATAAGTCGTAAGTTAAAAAGCTTTAACCTTCACATGAGAACTAAATTGAAGCTCCTCTGTGAAACTAGTCTATATATAGGGTATATTAAATTTAGTAAAAATTCTAACATATTCAATAATATGTTCTTCAGAAATAAGAAACTTCTGTTCACTTTAAGGAATAAACTGCTTTTAGATTGAAGAATTTAGTATTATTTATGATTAAAAAACCTTCAAAGCTTTCATTTATCATCTCAGTTTTCCATTGTTGGAATTTTAATATACCAGCATTAAAATAACTGATTGTATCAGAAATATTCCAGACTAATCTTTCAGTTCTGTGTTTCGGACATATTTTCTAGTTAGCCTCACCTTTTCCAATACAGGAAGCCAAGATATRACAAGATGTAGGTTCTTTAAACACAGCCATTCTCCATTGTGTGCACATTCTTTTAAAGTTTGAATAGCTAGGTCRGCTTGGCCTTGGCCCATTGCGATCTGAAAATAAAGAAATAGTTGCATCAGGAATTTGTCAGAATTTACTTAACAGCTAAAAACGAAGTTTTTCTAAGTCAGTCTATCTATGTTAAAAAAGAACGTGTTTTAACTATAACCAGAATTGCCAATAGGTTTTTCTAAAGATTAATAGAAATACAGTGTTTTCTTTGCAATATATGCAATATATGACTACAGCTTTTTTAAAAAAAATTATTATTATTATCTAATCACGTTATGGAAAGAACATGTATCACTTGTTGACAATGCACCTATTCCCTGGGAATTCATAGAAAGAAATCAAGTATCAGTGTCTAAAYTATAGTAATGTACAACTGCTGATACTATAAAAGTAGGAAAAYTGAAAAAAAATGCTTTTAACTGTAAATTACAACTTCCTTTCAAGAGAAACTATCAAGCGATCATACTGAGATGAGTGGAGAACTGTCGTCCCCTTTCCAACTGGGAGATAATGCAAAAAGTCTTTTCTGCATTTTATAGTAGTACACTATTGCTAAAACACAGTTGGATCTATAAACGCAAAGATAAAGGTTCAAAATTGAATTTTCAGAGGAATAGTAAACATTGAAAATAATAATCTGTTAGGGCACAATTACAACAGCAATTCATTTTAAACTAATTTTAGAGAGCATTCACTTTGATTCTTCCCTAAAATCCTACTGGAGGCAATCCAGTAACAAAAAATTCTGCACAGAACAGATTGAAAAGAAAGTTATCTTATGGTATCTGAAACGTCTCCTCTTGGCTTTACTGCTATGACAGAATAGAAGCAGACTGCACTCTTTTGTGATTATTATGACTTCAACAAATATTCCTTAATAGGAAATCTACTTTTTTTTTTAATCCTAAAACTTGAATAAATCAAATGAATTTGACGTCTTTACATAGCATTATATGACGATGAGGCCTGTCTTTTGTTTGAACCAAACTCATTGTGATATCTCCTAATAGCTAAAGTAGCCAAAAAAAGATAAATGAAAGAGAATAAAGACACCAGACATCGTAGTTGCACACAACACAAATTCAGGGGTCTGTTTTTTTAACCCTTATGAGAAATGATCCAACAAAGAAGAAAAATCTATGTTCTACATAAAATGTTTGAGAAAGACGAAGAAAAAATAACACTATCAAAATATTTTCATTAGTAGGACATCTTCCAGATGATGTACCACTCGAATACTGTACTGTATTCAAATGCCTTGTCTTGTTACATCTCTTAAGTCTAACACGTAAATGACATTTAGAGCTAACCAAAAAAAGACGGTAAATTGTCAGAAGAGGTAGCATGAATAAGATATATGCATTTTTAAACTCTCCAACTAGATAGAATGGCAATAAAATATAAAACCTAATAATTTGATGAGAAAAATATATTACACCAGTGCATATTCCAGGAAAGGAACAATTTCAAGGGCTGTTTAAAAGCAACATTAAACTTGGCATTTTTCATTTGTATGCTAAACAGTGATCATCCAGATAACAAAGCCTCCTGAATATCTTAAGTGGCAGAAGGGGAAAAGGTTTTACAGACAGATATAAAGAAGTTCATTAATACTGTGATTTGAAAAATCACCTTATTTGTAGAATAATTCTGGACTTCAGCGAGTGTTTAGTCCAACCCACAGCTCAAAGTAGGATCAGCTATGAAAGATCAGACTAGATACTCTGGGCTTTGTTCAGTTTTGGAAACCTCCAAGGATGAAGACTGGAAATCTTTCGGAGCTATTTGTTCTGATATTTGGTTGTCCTTATGAGGAAAAAGTTTCTTTCCTAGATCTTCTCACAGTCAACTGCAAAGTCTCACAGTCAACTCCATTTCCTCGGTCGTCATCTCCTCACAGGTACTGGAAGTCTGTTGTTAGGTCCCCGCAAAGGCTTCTTTACTACACTACTAGTTCATGTCCACCTTGCTGTCTACCAATTCTGCCCAGTCCTTTCAATGGAGCTGCTGCACAGGCAGTCAGTTGTCAGCCTTTGCCATTGCAGGGGTTTCTTTCCCAGGGAAAGGATTTTGATCTTGCTCTTGTTGAATTTTGTGATGTTCCTGCTGGATCATTCCTCCAGCCTGCCCAATTTCCTCTCAGTTACAGCCCTGCCAACAATCATATTCACTGAAAGGAGGTCCTGGTGGATAACAAGTTGAACATGAGCCAGAAATGTACACTTCCAGCAAAGAACTCCATCTGGGAGTTCTAGCAAGAATACTAGCAAGATACTAGAATACTAGCAAGATACTAGCAATACTAGCAAGAATGTAGTGAAGTGTCCCAGGAAACTGATCCTTCTGCCTTTGTGTGACACTTGCAAGGCCAAATCTGGAGTACTGTGTTCAGATTTGGGCTCCTTGATACGAGAAAAACATGGATGCAACGGAACAAGTCCAGTGAAAACCACTAAAGCAGTCAGGAACTAGAAAACATAACATACAAGGRGCTAAATTTGTTTAGCTTGGAGAAAGGGAGATCTTGTTGCTGTCTTCAGATCATTAATTAGAAGATATAGAGAATATAGATCCCAGACACTTCCTGGAGGTGGGCATAAATTGGAACATGAGAAACAGTGACTTGATATAAGCAAGAAAAAAATCCCATAAGGGTGATCTAATACTGGAACAAGTTGCCTAGAGATGCTGTGAGATGCCCATCATGGTAGTGGTTCAAGACTCAAATAGACAGAGACTCGAGTATGCTCTGGATATCTCCTCCAACCTATATTTGTCCATAACTCTAATATATATATATATATATATATATTAGATTTATATTTTTTTCTTTCTTTTTTTCTTTTATTTTTTAAGAGTTGTTTTCAATACCTTGGAATACACTCAACTTGAAACAAAGTGATATAGACTCTATAAGTAATTTCTTCACAGTACAGTTGCTGTTCAAAATCTTCCCAAGAAGAACTATGCTCAAAAGTTCAATTTTTTATTTAAAARCTATGGGAAGAAGTTGCACACAATGGAAAAAAAAACAACTGCCAAATTGGCAGGGCAAATACATCTGGTGATGTGTATTTCTGAAATCAGAGCTTCACCACTRTCAACCTTAGGGCATATTGTGAAACAGATTTGAAATATCAAAACTCTATTCTGGAACACCTATCAAGCATTAATTATTCAATATTTACTTATATGATTTCTGAAATATTTTCCTAAAATTCACAGAGTACGAAAGTATTCAAAAACATTGAAATTCTGATTTACATTTTCTGTTAAAAAGAAATGGAATACAGAAGTTTTAAAAGGACAGGAATTATTAAATCCCGTTTTCATTAGTTTTTTTTTCTTATGTTTGGATTATTCTACACTTTAATACTTAATACTTGGGCATCTATTATTCTCGCTTTGTTTTGGTCTCTTCCAATCCATGATCTCCTGTTTCTCTTCTCCTAGTCAGGAGAATGCCCTCTGCTTTTCCATTATGCTTATCCAAAACTGACCTGATGGTAGCATTCAGTATTTCTTTCGATACTGGCCAATTCTTGCAATTCTTGAGAAGGATCAGCACCAGGAGAAATAATTATCAAGATGGGCTCAAATTCCAGAGTCTCTTTATACAGACGTTTCAAATTCAGAGGTGGAGGAGACAATTCCTTAATTCCTATAAATCAGAAATATCAAGACAATTAAATGATCAGACAGGATGGAGTGCTCTTTGGAAGATTTTATCCTGCTACACAAATAACAACATAAACTCCTGTTTTTTGTTGTTGTTGTGTTTTCTTAAGACAGATACTGTTTCTACTGTGGTTTTAAGTTTGGTTGCAAGTTTTTTGTTTGTTTGTTCTGTGTGATATTTTTTTCCCCTCCTATAAAAAGCCCTTAAGGTTGCTTAAAAAGAATGTTGACCTGTTATAAGCAAGGCACTTATACACAAACCCAAAACTACGTGTCTAAATGGATCATAAATTCAAGTAATTTTAACCACATATTTTCAATGTCTATTTAAACTGGTTCTTCAACAGTCAGGTGCTAGTTACATGGGTCTTCAGGAAGTAAAGCAGGACACAGAAGCCTAAGTCAGTGGCATCTCTACCACAACTATTATAAGATGCCATATACTTTTCCTTGTGGGCTTATTCTGCTTCTAGACTTCTACTACTACCTCCCACAGAACAATCCTTTGTAATGTGAATGTAACAAGTCAGGCTGGTCTACATAGAGACCCTAATAGATGCAAATAACTTAAAAATCATTATCAATCAAAATGCTTAATAAAAATGAATTAAAGCTAATATTGACATATATTTTCATTTTGTATTTATTAGAAGTGTAGAGGCTTTGGTAATAAAAGTGCAGAGAAAAACTGAAATCAACAGACATTTGACCTGGGCAGCCCTCTTGATGAGTTCTGCTACCAACAAGCCCTAAACCCTAGAAGAACCTTAACACGCAACTGAAATGAAAAGGGGTTGCTCAGTGCTGTTGCTCAGTTGCTCTGTATGTTAGCTCAGCGCTAACATACTTAGTCAGGACAGACTATTCAGGGGCTCTTAACTGTCAGAATTCTGAAAGTGTCTGAGAAGTATATACAAGTTGATTTTCAGTGAATCATGCAATGGCCAAACTTGGATGTATGCACAAGCTCTGGCAAAAAGCTTAGCCTTGTAAAAATCGCTACCCAACACAGTAAATTTCTAATCATTCTTYCAAAATGTGTTCATGGTAACCTTTTTCTGACAAAGATCAGTAAATCCATCCTTAACATTTTTTCACTGACATAAGGAATGGAAACACCTACAATAGTTTGGTCAAAAGCCAAAAAAAGCAAATCTATACAAACAAATTAGCCAGGATTAATCAAAATTAATATAAATCAAGGGATTGTTTTCCTTTCCACTACAACCTGGCTGAGCAATATAAGAAAAGCAATACAAGAAAGCAATAAGCAATACAAGAAAAATAAAGATTGAGAATTCTGAATCATTATTGTTATTATTATTCAGATTMTTAATATTTTAGAATTTAGATAAAAAATTTAGATCAAAATTTTATCAAAAATTCAAAAGAGTAAACTTTATTAACTTTTATTTTGTTGGAGACGAATTATAATTTTTTCACTGGTGTTTCAAATTCTCTGAAGAATCTGGTTCTGAAAGCATCAATTGAAGTGAGAAGACAGCAACAACAGAAGGTAATATCCTTTAGGATTATAAATTAATGTTGTGAGACTGACTGTCAGACAATATTGCGGAAATTCATTCTCTATACAGGTGCACAAAGCAGTTGTACAATCTTATCACAGGAAAATTCAGCAAGTCTTTTGTTGTCATTACTTCCAGTTCAGAAGTCTCTGAGATATAAAAGCCTCTGGACACTACAAAAGGTTCTCATATCCATTTACTTTTTAAACAAAGTGCTGCTGTTTAAAACTTGCACCAAACCATTCACCAYTCTTTCTTAATTATTGTAGTGCTAAAGAATACCTGAAAGGATCTGACAGATCGTTTACTATATTTAAAACCACTATGCAGTGCAGGCCAAGTCATTTAAAAAGCACTCTATAATCACAATTTACAGGAATAAAAATAGGAAATCTATTTACAGTATTTTCTTTTCCAAATTCTAACACTTAGGAATTCCATAAGAATTATAAAATAAAATACACACATTGCAAGAAAAAAAAAAAAAAAAAAAAAAAAAAGAAGATTTTATCATTGTGTGGAAGCATTCCAGGGAAAAAATAACTTACCTAGAGCTTTACATGCAAAAAGGGCCATGGCACTCTGTAGTCTGTCTGGCCGGACAGCCTGGACCACAAGTACCTCAAAATAAATAATATTCAGAACAGGTGAGCATGTAAAAATACTTTGTGACAATAAAAAGCAAAACTTCTCCAAAATAATATAATTTCTTTAAACTTCTTCATAGGAAAAAAAACCTTACATATTAAAAAACCAACTCTACACCTAATGTCTATTTGTAAAATGGAACTAGGAAAAATATGCACACTATGCTGGAAGCTCAAATGCTAAGAAAGCAAACTTAGCTTGATACTATTCATCTATAATTTACACCTGTATTAATAACTTCTTACCTAAAAAAAACTAATGGCCATGTTTTTAGTGATATAATACAGTCAAAATCAATTTTGAAAGCATTTCCTCTGTTTAAGAGCATCTTAAAGAGTTTTTTTCTGAAACACTGTTATGTTTCCAGTACATGAAAGACTACAGACCATGAGCAACTGATCAATTCTGATAGAGAATACATCAAAAATTCCGTTCTAGCTACCTAATTTTCAGTTACCTCCTTGCATTATATTGAGTGCAGACAACTGGTGGCAACTAATTCCTCTTCAGTAGTAAAATTACCGGCCCTATTGATCCTATTCCCTCATATACAGCACTGTAAAACAAAATTCTGAACCTACCACAATATTTCATTTTCCTAGWTTGTAACTATTTTTGTTAATTTTGAAAGATGTTTTAGTTTTAGGGCGCTTTTTCTTGGAAGGTGCTTTAATTAAATTTTTAAGAAGGTGCTTTTAAGATTTGAAATACATCTGCACTGCTATTAACATACAATTTGAAAGAAACTAACTTATCACTGGTGCATAAAATTGACCAGATGTTTTCAATATCTTCTTGTTAGAGCAATCATGCTTTCTATGCAATGACCCAGGCACATAGTATGTTGGTAATTAAATTTTCTGATAAACATGTAACAATTTTGACGATGACACATTGTACATCTTAAGTTTTGCTGKTCTGCACTTAAGCAAATTAAATACAATCCAGATCACACCTTTGAAAAATGGTTTGCTCCTAAGAACATACTATTTTAGAAAGTCTTATATTTTTACACAGAAAGTTCCTAAGAGCTAATCAGCCTGAAACCAGATGGTCACATGCCCCAACCCTTCTTTGGATATGGATGGCCTTAATTTTATTTGAAGTTGCTTCAAGTGAAGTTCACATCTTTTGAAGGTAAGTAACTACAACTTTTCCTCCATAAACACAAGAGGATGACATTTTTCTTTTCCAGAGAGGAATGAACCTAACTTGAAGGAACCTCCCTCTCCAATATTATAGAATTCTTTAATTACTAAGCTTTCAGAAATGTTATTCAGTGAATAACATTTCAAAAAGCAGTGATCTTTACAGTATTTTGTGGGTTTCAGGCAAGTTCATGTGCATTTAGCACACTAACGATATTGCAATTATTGTTCATTTAACGATAATCTAAATTAATAATGGTCTACAAGCAGAGCAATTCAGCAGTAATAAAGCAACCAAGAAAGATTTTTAATTCCTATTCATAAAATTAAATCTGTGAGTATTAATAAGGAGCTTGTTAACTTGCAGGATATGTTAAATTGCAGCCAATATAGCAGACTCACATGACTAAACTTATACTGTAGGAAACAAAATACTTATATTAATGTAAATTAAGCTATTCAAGCTATAGGATAATGTAGATATTATTACTGCTTAAAAGCCTGAAGGCTTAACTCCTAAGATATGAAATTCATTTCAAATTTTGAATGTCAAAATCATAAATATTTTAAAATAATTTTGTATTAAAATATTACCTGCTGAAATAAAGACATTCTATTGACAACAGAAGATGGAAAGTCTTGTTCACACACAGAGCTCTGATAAAAAGTACGCCACAGATTTGCATCTTCAAAGCAAAGTGTTTGATAGAGATCAGGGAGAGAAGTCTAAAAAGCAAATAGTACATGTTTGATAATAAAGAGTAGCCATTTGGACATAGAATAATTTAAGTAATTAACAAATATGACTGACTCTATAATTATGGAAATATTTATACATACTATATAGTTTTTTATTAAAATTGATCATCAGAGTTAAAAATCAAAGGTAGGATTTAACCACTTGTCTATTCCCTACAAATGCTAACTGTATTTTCTCTGTAACTTTTGTTTTTAAACTTTTAGGCTTTTTGTTTTAAAACTTTAGTCCCTAACAAAACTTCACCACTAACAAACAACTATGTTTGCTATTGCAATTGTTCCTGATCCCTCGTAAAGAGAAATGAAAAATAATGATCTCTGGGTTCAGCAGCACAAGTCCTTGCCCAAGAGCAAGACTCTTCCTTCTTGCTGCTGAGGTATATACAGGAAGCAAAAAGCCTCCAGACAGAATTTCAGGGATTTATATTTTCACTTAGTTATGCTCAGACCAGCAGACATCAACAGAGACTGTTGCAGGAAGAATTAAAGCAAGAAAATTTTGGTTGGTTTTAATATGAAGCTAGTTGATACAAAAGAATTTCAAATTCTGAAATGTCTCTAAGAAAACTTGTTTCCCATTTGACCATCTATGGCATCTAATTCAATGCAAAGAAGCTTGTTAAAGTTGTGAAAAAGACAGTACCTGAAAAGAAAACAATGCTTTAGCATTCTTCGTAGTTTTTCTCTCTGTATATTTTTCTGTCTTTAAAAACCATAATAGGCCTTTATAGGTTTTACAGACTTACAGTATTTCCTAACCTTAGTAAAATTCATTCATAGAGTCGTTCACATTAATTAAAATATGATATATAAAGAATCACATAAAACGGCTCAAAAAATTGGGATGCAATAAAAAGTATTAATAAATTGGTAACTTTCCAGTTGAACATATATTACATTTCTGGAAGATAATAATAAATWAAAAAACACTTTCATCTGACAAATATTTGAGTTTTCAAATCCACATTACTATTTCTTAAAACCAGAGACCAAGTTAAATTCAAATTATTATGTGATCTATACCTTCAAAGATGCAACGGCCCAGGCTCGCTCCTGCTCTATCCAAGAGGGAAGCTGGTCACGAACACTTCTTTGTGTATCCTTATTAAAGTAAATTATACATTATATGCAAAAAATACTTTTTTTGAAAACAAACAAACAATGCAAWTGATGAAAATCTTTTCGGGAGTCTTTCTTTGTTCTTTTACATGATAATGAATAAGTAGAATAACAAAAAAAGAGCTACCAATAAGTTAAATTTGAAATACATTGTTTCCATCAACACTTGGTTAACTATTTCAGCTTTAAAATATTTTATTATTTAGAGTATCTGTATGTCACATTCACACTCTAGGTAGATTTTTATTAAAAACAAGCGATTCACAAGATTGGCCATTTGCACCTGCACTGCGAACAAGTGACTTGAAAAATTACTCCACTGCACATGGTCACACTCACAAACAAGTTCTTCAAACAAAGTCAAGTTCTGCATAACTGACCAGACAAAGCATCACTCCTGGACATCTCTGCACTGGCAAAATCTGGCCAGAGCTCTACTGCATCCTTGGATGTCAAGGATGCAAGAAATTTTTAGGATGTACAACATTGGTCAGTCCTAGTCTCTTATGTTGCACGTCTCCTCTCATTCATGGTCAGGCTGGCTCATTTCCATCATGCTTTACTACTGTTTTCTTCATTCCTGATTACTTTTTACCTTTAGCCTTCCTCAAGTATGTATTCAGGTATCTTACATTAGCAGTAGTACAATACAGATACCAATATGAGTGCCTTATTTACAGAATAGCTATGATGCCACCTATTTTAATCAACATGCTGGCAGAAATGGTAAGTCATTTAAAGGAAAATTAATCTCTCCTTTTTTCTTACTTAGGCAGACAGCTGATCAAAAGACCTGATGACCCTAGAGGTTTTGCGTCTCCCTGTGAACACAAAAGTCAACTGCACAGAATCTTTACAATTCAACTAGCTGTCAATGGACTTGTCATCTTTTTGTTGTGAACTTTTTCCTGTTTTCCTCTGTCCTTTTGGAGAAGGGTGGGATCAGGTGACAGGCTGCACTGTTGAGTCAGTGGTATCTATATCCCTGCTTGTTTTTGTCTGCTACTGAACACTGGCCTGACATTTTCAGGGAATATTCATTTTTAACCTTAAGACCTTACTTCAGACTGGTAGRAAACATTTAAGAACCCAACATCTAGAATTGTTTTGGTACATCAGTTAATATTTATCTGCATTAAATCTCAACTGCTGTTATATTTAACAAGCATTCCGTATTGTCAAATCCACTTAGACTTTGTAGTTTTTTCACTACTATATTTGCTACTCTAAACAACTTGTATCAGCATTGAACCTACCGTTTTCTATTGTTAGGTTATTTTTAAAGCCTACAGGTACAGCAGAATTRAGAAACACTGGGAAAAACACATAAACATCCACGTTTAGGGTGATTAGAGTTTAATACCTAACTATATCTCCAGGTGTTGAACTAGAAGGGTGGGGGAAAAGTGCATGACAAAGTTTGGAGACTGTGAATTATCATATCAATGCCTACAAAAAGTGTACCATATATGAAATTGAGTTAAAGAAGAATATGGAAATACTGATTTTAATTACACGAGACTTTAAAACTCTAAATTTACAGATGAAAGCATGTACTATAATCCCACTAAAGGCAAGAAAATAGCAGACAGGCAAAACTTAGAAAATTAGAAAATTAGAAAATGAGTCGGCATTTTTACAATATTCATATTACTATGTGAAAATTTGTTTTATATGAATATAATTAATAAAATAATGTAACAATTACACAAACACAACCTTTCAGGATTTAATTAATATTCTCCTTGTTTCAGTATTCACAAATAAATGTAGCTTACTGATTTTTTTATGGTATCTCCAATGATCACACCTGTAAAAGTGTCCCATTCCTAGAGGAGAAAAATAGACAACTCAGAGAAGCTAGGGGGACATCTGACAGGGGGACAATTCAGAAGATATACAAAACAAATCCTAGATTCTGAGAATTAAGACATTTTTTAAACTCTTGGTCATATTAAAGGTATGTAAGTCTTTTTGCAGAATCCAAGCTAAATGATTGCAATACTTTATAACAGGCAGAAAGAGCAACCCAAGCTTTCTCAGTAGCTGCAGCTCCCACCCAGTCATGCACCAATAGACTAGCAAGAAGTAATACACATTGCTGGCAAGGACACACATACTGGTTGGGTAACAACTGGTCACATGAAACAGGAAACTTTTGAGTTCACACTTCAATATTGTTTTATGCTACGTATGCAAAAGTTACAATTACTAAAACAGAAGGCATATTTACTGCAATAGATTGATATTATGAATACTTTRCTTTCTTTGAGAAAGAGGAAATACACATTAAATATGTGTAATGGAATTAAATGTGTGTGGAACTAAATCTTTTATACTTGGCATACATATCCATAAAGGAGGCAGGTAGGACTSTACTTCAGTAAGGACATGTACAATATGCTTTAGCAGCCTGGTAAGTAACTCACACCACCATGTTAAAAGTTTCAAAAGTTTCAAAGAATAACTACTTCATTGTCATTTTCTTCAATATACAGTTTGTACGATCCCTCTTCTCGCAATGATTTAGTCAAAATAATTTCTATGTTTAGAGAAGAAAAATATTGTTATTATTCACTTGTTCAAATTCTTGAATATGCAGATACTGCTGGAACACACATCAGATATAATCTAGAATAAGCTGCTTAAGAACTCTAACAGCTGATGGAAATACTTGCTAAATGGTAGGAAGTAATACATAAAAGAGCACTCACAAATACTTAAGCCTATGCAGGCAGGCATTAATGTAGGCAGAAAAGTATTTGTCAGCTTCTACTTTAATAAGTTTTCAAACTCAAAGATACATAAAAAAATGCAGGATACTTTCAGAAGCTGAAAAGAAGTAATATATATGAGTTAGGAAAGTTCTAACAATGAAGAGCAATCAGTGTGTGTCTCTACTAATAAGTAATTATCTTTATCAAGCAGTCTCACTGAATAAAAATTATGTGATTTCATTTAGTCAATCTATATGTCTACCACAGAACTACAGTGTATTAATAACATGAAAAATTTTGATCATTTTCTTTAATCTTTTAAATTAATTCCATATCCTTCCTGTTATCGACTTCYATTGCTTCCTTCAAATTATCTGGTTTTCATTCTCTTCACTGTATTGGACTCTATTCTAACCAGTTGACACCTACAACCATCTGATATTCCTCCAGCCTCTATTACAGAAAATTATGGATACTCAGAGGTTCTCATTATTTGCCCAAATCAGCSATTACCTAAGCAACTCTATTGAGTCTATTATACAGACGTTTTGCTGTATGCAGAAACTATAGAATTAACTTCATTATATTGTACACAACTAAAATATTGGCATCTATATCTCAGCCATTTAATCTTGGCTACCTGTAAATGCAGTGGATAGAAGTAATTTTAACAAATAATCATCTGACCTATTTTTGAAAACTCATTTATGATGAAATTAATTGCTTCCTTAAAGTGTCTGTTTTTCCTGTTTCTGATAAGATAGTTTAGGGCAAACAGATTAATTCTATTTTAGTTACCAATTCTGACTGTTCATGAYCTCCAAAAGCACCATCTTACTCAAGACAAAAAATTCACAATGGCCTTTTAATTTGAGCAGAAGTATGACCTAACACCCAAAGAACCCTCTCTATGCATTGCTCAGCGTGCTATTCTGAGCATGCTATCACCAAGAACCACACAGCACCTTGAAAACAGGATTTAGCAGTACCTAAACTCTGCTGGATTTTTTTTTTTTTTTTTTTTTTTTTTTTTGAGTAGGATAATCTCTAGACACAGTAAAATACAACATAAATTAGGAATTTTCAGATTAAGGTTTATTCAGACCAATGTCAAAGTGGTCATGCGGTAACTCCCTTCTTTTTATGAACACGAAGTAATACAGGACTTGCCTGAAAATGGGCTGAAAAGGGGAGAGACAGCCACTTGTTAGTAAATGAGGTTTGAATCTATACCAAACACATCCGAGGCTACTATCCATAAATCTGATCACCAGTACAAGGATTTCTTCAGTATTAAGTATTGAAGCATTAGATAAAATGCCCAAAAGATAACCTCATTACTTTACCAGCCAGGAAGACCTTGTGTCCTAAGTGTCTACAACAGTGAATAGCAGAATCAGACTAATTTCAGACTAGCGTAAGACTAATTTCTCTCTTGAATTTGCATTTGTTTTCTGCTTTCCAATACCAAGGGAGGATGCGTGAACAAACCTCAATCAAAAACAAACAAAACAGATGTACAATCAACTTTACGGGGAAATGTTTATATTTGATTAAAATTATGGATAAAGACACACAATGAGAGGAAGCATTCATATCATGCCTGCAAAATCATGCAAGAGCCCTCCMTAAAGAGATTGCATGTTGTGGGCCAACAGAAAAATAGGTCACACAAGTACCTTTTTTCAGATCCCTATTTGGAAAGCAACCTTCTACTTGCCTTTCTCATGATAATGTCCAACTCTGAACCTAATAAACACAATYTTATCATCCATAATTTTTGTAAATTACCTATCATATGGAAATACAAGCACTAAAAAATCTCATATCATAGGTCTTATTTTTACTGAAAAAGACTTTTCATCTAATTATTTACTCCTCGGCTTAAGTTTAAGTAAATCACATGGGGAATTTTTTTCTTCAGTACTTACATTCTCTTCAAAGAGTTCAGGATGCATTCCTCGTACAAAATGTAGAGCAAACATTAGCTGGTCAGCCTGAAATAAAAGCAGACAAAATGTATTTATATATTCAGCGCATATCACTTTTCTCCTTTTCTCGTGAGGAAAGTTAACTAACAAAATTTMACTTATTAAACACCTGTAATTCATAGTATAGGCATAGTGACCCATTTCCTAATTCAAGATCACTGCATACCTCTGAAAACTAGACACAAAYGTTAATCCAATCGCCAGATCTAACTACATATAAATAAGGGGGATGAATCAACTTGGATAGAAGAGAATATTTACATACACTGATGATGGAATGACCAGTTTATTTGTTCTGTCAAAAGGCCCTTGTTAGAACACACATTACTCTAGGTGGACTATTGGTCTGCATGGTATTCTACATTTTTAATATCTTCTAAATTCCAATTTAAATTAAAAGTCTTTCATACTGGAAATCTCCCATTTGCACTTTGTTTTCAAAATCTTTTCAAGTGTATAAAAATAACATTACAGACTCATGACTCGGGAATTTACTTTCTTCCAACATCATGGAAATCCACCAAAAGTCTGAGAAACCATAACCCTAATTAATATCAATATGACTATTTTGCATCCTAAATATAGTGTAGCTAGATTTTGRGAGATCAAATCTCTCCAAATTTCTCCATTCTCACTAATCAAATTCCAGACTTGTATAATTTCTGTTACTACCCAAATGCTCTATGTAGGCCTACTGTGTATTATTACTGTGTTAGCAGCTTGCGATTAACAAAACAAACACCTCCTGATATAACTGCTCTATTGAAAAGTAAGAATTAAAATAGAAAATGAGAGGTATAACCTATCATAATGTCAAGACAGCAAGAAGCTGTCTAATTTCAATGATGAGTAAACAAGAAATACACTAAAAACATTATATGGAAGAACGGGGAAAGAAATGAAGAAAAATAARTCAGCTGGTAAAAATCTGAGGAGGGAGGAAAAAGAAAAGAGTATTAAAGAGTATTTCCATAATCTTTAGTTTCCTTTTGAAAAAAAAAAAAAAAAAAAAAAAAAAAAAAAAAAAGAAAACACAAACTTTCATCAGGACTGCTAGACCAAAAATTCTTATTTAAGAAATGATAGAAACATGATTGAGCAGAATGAAGACTGGTCAGAAGAGTGGGGATTCCAGGAGATGATAAATAACAAGAATGATATAGAGAGGAGGAATTAAATCTCAAGCAGAGATAAGTCTAGGTTAAAAAGAGTCTTTGCTCATTAAAAATTCCACTGCAAAGAAATGTGCACAAGCAATTTTCATTTGTCATACCTTAATTTTCAGTGCTCAATTTTACATGTTTAATTATTGAACTTGTAATTTTTTGTATAATTATATATGTTCTGACATAATATTTCTTACCTAAAGTAGACCAAATTTTGTTTATGAAAGAATCATTTAAATACAGTGCACTGAAAAAAAAACAAGAAAAATATAATCTTACCTTAAACAAACAACGACAAACGTATTCATAGACCATATGCTTCAATAAGTCAATCAGCAACTTCATTCTTTCTTCAGTATTATCYGAAGACTAAAAATAAAATTTGGACTTACAAAATGTTTGAAATAAAAAACTACATTTTATGTACTTTTTTTTTAAATTGTTCAYTCTTAATTAAAAAATTCTTCTAGATCGAAATAAAACCTGGTCTCTGTGTGGCACTATTATGTGCATTATTTCTGCAAACATGATTTTTTCCATTGAGCTCACATGCAGCACCCAACTAAATGATGATATGTTCACACACAACCATTAAGAAGTGAATATTTGACCGTGAACATTATGTCTTTTAAAAACACCTTTCTAACTAACACCTTTCCAATGCCTAAAAGAGAACTTAGTAAGTGCAAGMGGACAGACAAACACGCACACACACACACAAAAGAAAGAACAGGTGAAGGATTTCAAAGGGTACCTGTTACATAGTCAGAACCATGTCTGAGTAATGACTAGATTGGAGTTGAAGGAAAGCTGTAAACATGGATACTGGAAAACAAGGGGATTATAGATATCCAAAAGTACTATGATGAAAAGATTGTGAAGCACTTTTAAATTGGAAACAAATAGAAAAAAGATGGATTTCAGAGACCAAAACAGAAAGTTACACAAAAAGAAGGGTGCCTCATTACTTCTAAAGAACAAGAAGATAAGAGATAAAATCAAAAAAGGTTCTTCAATAAGAAGATACTGGCCATTAGAATACAAAAACAAAAGTTAAAAGAAAAAGGCTAAAAGGAGAAAAATATGGACTGCTTACATGCTTACATGTATATAAAACAAATAGATAAAGGTTTGATCTTTCAAAATTGAATCACGTAAAATTATGGGTCTTTTATTATTCTACCTCTTACTGATAGAATCAGCTTTCTTTCCACATGAGGTCATGACTGAAGGTTAATATTTAAATAAATTGAAGTTATTATCAGTCTTGGGTTTCCTAATTTGTTTTAATCTTAAACAAATAAAATGCATGAAATTACAAAAAGGAATTGCTTGTTTTCAGATAGTGCAGCAATTTATATTCATATATCATGTAAATAATATTAAAAAATTGTCATGTGTTCTGAATATCTTTATCACAACAGTTACCCACTGCTACTTTTTACATGTCATTCTCTAAAAAACGACCACAGCAACTTCTAAATTCTAAAGATCAAAGAAGACTTTTTCTGAAGCTGTGAATGCAGCAGAAAAATCAAATACCTGCTCACTTTGAAGAGCTCTTTCAAAAAGCCTTAGGAAAGCCGCCAGACTAAAACGGTACATATTATTAATTTTGGACAAGTCAGAAATAATAAAGTACATCTTGCTAGCACTCTCAGCTAATGGAAGATAGGCATCTCGCTCCTGTGGATAAAAAGAAACAATAATCAAAATCAGTTTCTTACTGCCACCTATCGGATATTGCATATTTATACAATTTACCTAGAAAAACATGGATTAATTCCACTGATTTAGAAAACAAAATCATTTCATAATCTTCAAAGGGAGGGACAACCACTCCAGACATCAACACCRCCTTTACTATTTTTATTTTTTTTTTWAAAACAGATTATTTACAGCAATTTTTATAGTAATATTTTGGCATTATGAACTTTTGGGGTCAGTTAAGCTTGTTCCCATCACAGAACATTTCCCCAAACTCAATAGCAAATTTGCAATTTAACAGAAAATAAGAAAAAAATAAAAAGATCTCTAAAGTTTAAGAAAAGCTATGAAGGTAAAGGAATAGCATCATATGTGCTTTAAGCTTTTGCACTACCAAGAGAATTTTTTAAAACGAATGTCCATATGAACTTGAAAGTCAGCCGTGTTATTTCCAATAGCAGAAGGCAAAAATAAAAGAAATCAAAATCCATTACATGCCAGTAAGACCCTGGGCAAAAACCATGCAATTAAATAGGCAGACCCCTTTAAATTGTGCAGATATGTAGCAAGTATAAAAAAAAAATACTAAAAATACTAAAATCCTTACTGTACTTGCACATGTCAATTACCCCTTCCTTCAGAAGAGGAATTTCTCATCTTAGTAATTTTGTATGTCTGTAATTGTGATGCAGTCTGGTTCACTGACGTTTATAACAGAAGCTCCATTATTTCAATGGAACTAGTATTTCATTAATTAATTGTCCAACTTTGAAAATCCGACATGGGTATTTTTATTTTCAGGCTACACCCAAAGCAGAGAAACATTATAATAACTGAAAATATAACTAGAGCAAATTAATCAAGAACTGATTTATTCAACAAAGAAAAACTTCTATTATTCTTTTTACAAGGTTCATCTAGTTATACACACAAAAAAAGGCTATTTTTTAGCAGGAGAAAAGCAGCGGGATAGGATTACTTTTTTTTTTTTTTTTTTTTTTTTTTTTTTTTTTTTACCTGATCAAGAAAACTCTGAAGTCTCTGAGATTCCGCAAGTGACTCCTGAATGAGTGCACTACTTGCTTTAGTCTGATTCAAAGATTCAATCAGATCCTTATTTTCTAGTATATTGCCCTGTGACGTTGCAAGTGTCTGTAAAAAAATAAATTAATTATAAAGCTACAATCAAAAAAATGTAAATTAGCAATATTGGAAGCCATCCTTCTTTCTGATCTTTACATATTTCTGAATCACTGAATGGATCAAAAGAGCAGGGAAGCAGACGGAAAGTCCACAAACTGAGATATATTAAAGAAAATTGAAAAATGAGACAATTGAACAATGCAGAATGCAAACTTTTGAATCATAAGTTTTCAATAAGTTTTTGAGAAACGATTTCTATGATCAGTCTCTTACACACCAGCATTATCAAAATAAATATAAATGTCAGATGAGGTTCTTTACTTCTAAGTAGTTACTATTTTACTCTGAAAATGCCTAATTGTAAAAACTTTTCCTACCTAGACAAAACTTTTCCTATCTAGACAATCACAAACTCAATTTCTCTCCAAAAAACTCCTATATGAATTAGTTCTCATTTTCAATTGAGAGGAAAAGTCACAATTATAAGAATTCCATTTTATCAGAGATCCCCTTCAAAATCATTGTGATTACCCTTCATTTCCTAGGCTTCCCTGTGCAAACACTTTAGTTAATCTAACAAAAAATGGGAAAAGCTTCAACTCACTTCAGCTGTAGGTGAAAAAGAAACAACTTTGATACACTTTAAACAGTTACTATCTTTCTCTCTGAAAATATCTAAACAGTTATACCTGTAATTACATTATCTTAATGTCACCAAAACATTTTAATAAGCAATATTTGCAAGGACACAGTCATTTTATCTACACTTCTTAAGTCTTTTAAAAAGACTAGTCACGACTATAGAACTTTTCAGAAGAGCAAGTGATTAYAGTCCTGCTATTATTTATTAGTAGTTCTGCTATTATTTATCTAGTAGTGTTTTTAAAACATTTTTTTTTCTCCAAAAAACCCTGGGTAAATAATGTTTTTGTCTTCTCAAATCAAGAATTCTGGGAGCTTATTATTGTTGACATTTTCATAATCCCCATTTAAACACTAACAGTTTTCAATCTACCTTATTGATCTAAAAGATATATAAAAGTTMAATTTACTTTACCTCCAAAAGAGATTCCTCAAGTTTAGCTAACTGTATCTTCTTGTCTTCTTCTTGTTGTAACAGCTTTGTCTTCTGCTCTTCCAAATCAGGTTTTTCATGCTGAATAGTTATAGCCAAAAGCTAAAAATAGAGCATGCTTTTAAACAAGACAGAAAAAAAAACTCTTATATTTCATAATATATATTCATTAATCATACAGCAGTATCAAACTTCTATCAAACTTTTGAATGTAGATTTCTGAGGGCTTGACACCAGACACAAAACGTGTTCCAAATGCGTGTAGACATCTGTAATATCCTACAATGGAAAATACAGCTCAGGAACTACAGCGAGCCATGACCCTGCCAGCCAAGTTGAGAAACCTTGCCACATCTCAGAAGGCACTAGATGTTTTTAATACAAATATAGATTCATATCCTTTTATGCTGAGATCCTTCTCATCCTTCTCTCCTTATCCTGAATCCCATCTGAATTTAAACTCTACAGGTAGTCTTTATATGTATTAATATTGCCACAAGATGTAATATGTAAATAATATATAAAAATAATATGTAATCATAGGTATATGTAATAATAAAAGTTAAAAGAAGCAGAACATAGAAAGCTCAAACTGGGAAACATTGGCAGTGAAGTTCCTTCCAACAAATATATGAAAAGCGGGCAAATTTACTTGCTAATGCTGTATGACACTTCCCTATCTCCAATGAAGGACAGAAAGACATATGGCTATCTGTACTTAACATTTTGAATCACATCTTTCTTACTACTGTCTTATTTAGTTTCTATTGTAAGCCTCTGTCAGGTTGAAAAAAAAATCATATCACCTAAAAGTATCTTTTCTCTTAATTTCATATATTTTTTCTATCTATACTGTATAGTTTGTTTCCTAAATATTTCAGATGAAACCTAGCATTTTGGAGGAAGTGAAATATATAGCCTTTTCATTTCACCACATTTTTTTTCTTGCAAGTAAACAATACTGTCTGAATAGAATATTGAAGAGAAATAGTATTAACACTTCCACAGTCTCACAAATACACTTTAAACAGAAAACAGAAATTTAGAGAATAATTTGGTGCAACTGAAGCCAATGAAATAGTTTCCAATTTCTTTACAGAATGAGTAAATTTTGTCACCATTCACAATTGTGTTCTAGAAAATATCTCCATTACTATTAATGCAAAATTAATCATGGGTCATGGGGCTTCTATCAGAATCTGAATATACCTATAAATGCCCAATATACTGTTACTATTCTATACACCYACCTGTCCTCTTAAACCACTTCCTGTTGTGGTAAAGTTTACTTCAGTAACAATAGAAGAAGCGTCGGGTGGAATGTAGGGATTTGGGTTCCTTGTTGACAGAAAAAGACGAAACTCTTCATTAAAATCTATCATTTTGTCACCTATCTGTATAGCATATCGAGGTCCTGTAAATAATAAATTATATATGATAGTTATTCTGATTCAAATATCCTATACTTATCTATAAATATTATTTGCATAATATTTTATGACTATTAAAACACTAACCTTATTTATAATTTTTAAAAAGAAATAATAAATCATTTAATATGATTTATATAATTAATATTAAAGTATTTTAGTATTAATATAATTTATGTATAAATATATATGCATATTATAATGAATTATTTCAATTACAGCAGGCAAAAAACAACTCATATAATTTCTGTTGTCAGGGTTTTAGTCTTGGTTTATATTCCTAATATCCTGACATCTTTCAGTATGCCTGTATTAGAATAAAATTATATTTATGGCCTCTCATCACCCTCCTTCCATCATGGAAGATTTCTATCTAGCTATGTAGATTAAAAAGAATAACTTCTGACAATTTGGAAACCAAAGTTTTCTCCTCATGATATTGAAAAAGGAATAGAATTATAATATGAATAGCTTTGAAATCAAAATTCTTCTCCAGAGATGGTTCTGAGGTGGAACAGTTGGGTGCATCTCTGCTTTTAGCATTAGAAGCAGAGGATCAAAGATGCCATAAGAATAAATCTCCTGCTAAAACACTGGTGAAAAACACATACCAATTTTGCCTTGATGCCAAAGACCAACATAAATTTTAGACTTATGCTGTAAAAATGTCAAGCAGAAAATGGAAGCTGTACAAGGACAAAATTATTGAACTATATAAATTCACATTTTTCTTAACAGGTAATGAAAAGATGTACAGTCTTCATAAGCAAAATAATGCAGAGGCCTCTTTCCATACTATAGAACCTCCACGTTTTGGATAAACAACAGAGTGCTTGCAAGTGAAGACGAATCTAAACAACAGCTGCTTCTTTTTCAAAAAACAATTTCCTAGTTAGACTTGCAAAGACCTAGCACTGTCAGAGCAAAGAGGCTACCTAAGGTATTATAAGCAAATGCTGTGAATAAAATAGTGTATTTTAACTCAGTATACTTTCTCCCAAGTTGTGCAGACATTTTCACCTCTTAATTTCATTCTTTCAGTAAAATCAGTTGAGATGCAGATAATACTGCTTCTCAAAGCTCCACAGAAGCTAGTGAAATCCACCAGTAGTGAATATGTCCTTGGCTCCTATAGATCCTTACCAGCTGTGCTACAAGCTGAACCACTAATGTTCGAGACAAAAATAAAATTAACCAGGMGAATCATAGAATCACAGAATGCCCAAGGTTGGAAGGGACCTCAGAGGTCATCTAGTCCAACTCCCCCTGCACACGCAGGGTCACCTACAGCACGGGGCACAGGGCTGCGTCCAAGCGGGTTTTAAAGATCTCCAAAGAAGGAGACTCCACAACCTCCCTGGGCAGCCTGTTCCAGTGCTCTGTCACCCTCACTGTCAAGAAAAGAATGTAAGTATATTTTAATTATAATAACTTGGAAAGTATTTGAAGAAACGCACTGTTGTATTTTTTTCTCATTCATTCAGTTGACAGGTTTTTCCTATCAGCCTTTTAAAAATATCCGAATCCAAAGCTGTTTCTTATGAAAGTAATGTAAAATATATAAATAATTTTGTTTTAAAAGAGATTACTTTCCACTGAATTCCACCACTGTGCTTATTGACTCTCCACTCAAATACATCTGTGAAACACATCTGTGCAACTTTGAGAAAGAGTAACATCCGAAAAAACTGATTTCTAACTGCACAATCATGTAATTTCTTGCCTATTTAAGGCTGAAGTTTATAACCAAGGCATCTGTTGGAAATTATCACTACAAATGAATTTAACAGTTAAGCTGTGCAGAATTGATAAAAAACCTATTTTAATTAAACTTAAAATATCATTAAATATTTTTCAGTATTTTTCCCCTAACAAACATACCTCCAATGTATTTCATGACCTAAAATGTTAGCAACACATTAATATTAAAGTAGAAACATAAGTGATGTTCTTGTTTCCAGAAGAATTAGGTTTTATATGATGCATACAGCCCTAACCTACAAATGCTTAGAATACGCATTTTTAAAGATTTTGAACATTTACCTTCAGCAACAAGTTCTTTCCTTAACAAAGGATAAAGAACAGGTTCTACTCCATCCACTTCCTGTATAATAAGTGTCTTCCCAAATCTCACTGCCAGCTCAAGAGTAGTCAGGAAGTTGGTGTCCTGGACAACCAAAAATATAATAATAAAATATTATCATGTTATTTTAAGTACTAATACACTGATAACTAACAGTGGAGAAATACACCTAAGCTATAGAATCTTTTTAACAATGAACAGGAAGGCATAATAAGTAAGTATTACTAACTAAGTCTACTTAGGATTTCTAAGTAGAAAGAATACTAAGAATACTAAGGATTTCATTCAGCTACTGACACACAGGAAAACTATTTAGGATTCTTAGTCTCCAATTGCTGCACCAGAAGCACCAGTCTACCCTGGGTCCTCTGCCACATCTGTTAGGCCCATCTTCAAGATTTTGTGGTTAGTATATCACAAAGATTACTAGTTAGCTAAGGGTCAAAACTAAATTAAAACTTACTAGTAACCAGGTATCTCAATTATAGGGTTTCAAATTCTCTAAAGTTTGATTTTAGACACTATACGTGTCTAAATATGCTTTTRGTGTTTATTATAGTCAGCGGAGATCCTAGAAAACTTGGTCAACAGAATCTAGAAAGCAACCAAGCTGACCRGCTAGCAGGAGGAGCATTCATTTGATCAGACATCTAGTACCATCCTAGGTAACATCCTCACAAAGCTGGCAGGGGTGAGACCTGTTGTTGCAACAACTTGAGGTCAGCTGAAATTCACTGAGGAATCTCAGCTGGCATCAGATGTCTGCATATATGCAACTAAACGAAGGCTCCAACACCCATGCAAATGGCTATACACACAAAATTAACCTTAGGTATCTTAAGCACTAAGTGAAGCCCAATCTARCATTTATAAACATATAATACAGTAAAAAAATGCATCAAAAATGTATATATAGACTCCTGGAACAGAAAAACAGTTCAAAATCAAACCAAGAATATGAAAGACCTCTATAATTCAAAAATATTTTAGAATCTCCATCTCTTCAAGAAATATCAACAGTCTTGGAGAGGGAAGCAGAGAGAGGCAAACTTGTAGAAGTAACACTAAATGTTGATGACCCAGTCTTAAATACTCTGACCTCACTGTTGAGTCCATCAATTCCAAATTTCATCCTAAATATAGGATCAAATTTTTGAATTGTATAAGCGCATACTTTTCAAATAAAATAGTAAAACAAAATGCAGATTGACCTTTGGAAAACAATTCATACTCATTTTGAATACAATTTTGTGATCTTATACATTGTTAAAATGGATCACAGTATTGTTGAAATACTGAGCATGCATACATAATTATTTTAATATAGAATTCTGTGAGAAAATATACAGTCGAAACTGACCACATTGTGATGACTGCTACTACATCCTTTTATAAACTATTCTCTGAAGTTTGAATAGGGCAGAACAGAAAAGTAAGACCAAGAGTAAGTACTGTACCTGCTGGTTAATAACTTCCAAACGTGATTCTTTCAAATGTGTCTTCAGCCACTCTGTAGCCCTGAAGGAAGGATCTATCAAAAATGGGCAAATTTTGCTCTGGAAGAAAATATATATATGTAGTTATTAACATCTTTTGTTTAATAATAAAATTGAATCCTTTATTTCTCCAAACTAARGTTTCAGTCATTTTAACATCTTTTTGCTTTAAACAAACTGTTAAATGAAACAATGATTAAAATGATTGAAATGATTAAAACCAAAGTTGGAATTTAGAGTCATGTACATTAAAAATGCTTTCTTCTGTTTACATGTCCCACAGTGCTAAGAAAATAACAAAACCGAGGCAGTTTAAAGATCCAGAAAGATATTACAGAAATCTGTAAAAAATGAAATACTTCCAAGACAAAATACAGACACAAATTTACCTGCAAGATAACAAGAGCATTTTCTATCGAAAGATCATCTGAGGGTAAACCTTCACTTTTCCAGACTAACTCCTCACTTTCTGTACACAGGAACCGTCTTACATCAAACTCTGGCAAATGAAAGTATTTATCAGTTTGTGTGAACATTAATCGTCCATCTTTTTTTTTAAGCCTTCACTACCTTAAATGCATTAGAGATTCTTCCAACATAGTGTAAGGCCTTTGCCTCACACCTCTTTATTTTGTGGCTTCCAAGTCATTGCTATTGGCTGACATTATAAAAACATACATATTAATAGTGCTACTAACACATATTCCTTAAAACTGATTACTGAAAAAGCAGAGGCCTGCAGAATCCTAACATTYAGTGTGAAAAGCTTCATTCACATAAACTTTTTTTTTTCCAGTAAAGACTGGTGGGGATAAATTTTAACAACTTATAAACATTAATAGAACTATACTCTGTCTGTATGTGCAACTCTTCCCTGARTAGAAATGAAAGTTATTGCATATTCAGGAACATCAAGACAAATGAGACTGTTCATTAGAACTGACTGACATTTCCCACTTAATTTATGAAGCTTAATTATATGGAAAAAAAAAAAAGAAAGAAAGAAAAGAAAAGATACTACTTTCAAGGTCGGCTRATTTTGTCCATTCATCCAAGCTGGCTTTTCTCTGGTCCTCTGGAGCAGCAGAAAGATAGGTAATAAATGCAGCTGCTAACTGAGCTCTTTTAGGCAATGTAGCCAGTTCATCTGTTATCTCTGACACCTTAAAAGACAAAAGTCTTTTAACATAACAGGTTTCAGTTTGCCACCTATGAGTGTCTGAATAAATATATAATAAGAAACTGAAGGTATATATAACAACAGCTAGTTAACACCACTTATGCAGGTACCAAATACCATATGAATCTGTTCTCCAAAAAATGTGATTTGCTGCAAACTCACATGCTAAAACATATGTATCATACGCCTTTATGATGATCATATGCCTTTATCCTATCTGTATTATACCATTTCAGATTTGAAATATTTCTTTTGGAAATACTTAGGGCAATAATACAGAAKACTGCCACAATCAGCTTGGAAGGTCTGCTGCATTTTTTGTAAATTAAAAAGTGACACTTTGAAAAGATAACTTTTCATTAATTCTTCCTTACTTTTAAGTGAAATGAATACAGCTTTTTCTACTCTCTTAAACCCCATCCTCATAATGGGACTAATATATCTGCTAGTTTGAACTTTAGTATACAGCTATTAGGACACTTCAAGTTTTTCCAAGACAGATGTGATATACTAGAGTAAAAAACTATAAAGAATCATTTTTGGAAGTCTTTAAACTTGGGGATCACTATATCCTATCACTACTTGGTACCACAGATGAGGTATTTGCAGTTAGTTGCAGCTTCCCTACTATAGACTCATACCTTCTAGTTAGGATAATCTATTTACTTTCATGAAACTGGTTATTTTATGAGAAGGATTCATCTAATCCTAAATCTTCAAAATATAAGCATTTCAGCTAAGTTTAACAACCTTCTGGTGTCAATGAAGATAGCTAGGTATCACTTTCTGGAGGTGACAGGTGTTTTCAGCTTTTATGCAGCTTAAAATTTGCCTGCTCTGTTTTAGACTGAAAAACGGTTTTCACTGCAAGCCAAAAGGCTTATCAGTTTTAACTCARAATATCATTCGAGCTAGTAAGATAAATTTTCCCAATCAGAAAAGCTTGCAAATACATAAATAAAGATTTCAAAAGTAACATAAAATTTTGGTTAGGTCTACATTTGTCTTTTCAAAGCAGATGTGATTTATTTTAAGATAATGATTGTTTAATGCTTTCCAAATATGTGTTCCTAATACCTGTGTCACAAACTGCACAGCGAAGATGCTGAAAAATTCAGTCATATTAACAATTGTATTATTATTGGGACTGAAAATGGTCAAAAAAAAAAAAAAAACCCTACTAAATGTTCTCTTCCAAATGACATTTTACACATTCTGTATCTGATATAGGTAAGCAAAACTGTACTGTGAAATATGAAGTTGTCTTTCTGATGAGTCATATAAATGTACACTTACAAGACCAGGAATATGCTGATAACCCACAACTTCCAGAGTAAAAATATCAGTTATAATATGTTTTTTATGAAAATTTTCACTAACCTGAGTGTTCCATCTTTTGTGTTCCCTATCCAGCTGACTTATTAGTACCTCTGCAGCTTTCAGTGTTTTCTGAGCTTTGTTAAGTTCTGCTTCAAGTTTTGCTGCTTCTGTTGTTCTACTCTGGAACCTGTAAAACAATTAGTGTTTGTAACTGCAAGAATTGTTAACAAGCAGGAGCATAGCTACTACAATTCCCTTTTATACTTCTTTGACACATAAGTACATTAATTTTTTCACTAATAAAATTTAAGATGTATTGGTGAGACTTAAAAATACACTTTCAATATAAAACACAATGTCTGCAAAATCATTTCTTCCTCCATTTAGACAGTCTAACTTGACAATAGCAGTTAATGTAYGGCTAATGTATGGCTAAAAGTAGCCTTGTTATGACAATTGTCRTGATAATGGTAGGCTTAATGCCATAGCATAGATTTGTATCTTTTTGGTAAATTGCCCTATAAAAATTTGAAAAGATAAAACTTATAATTTACATATGAGTCCAATTCAATACACAGTACTCTATTTTATAACCTACTAAGAGATAAGAACACATGTCAATAAATAAGCAAGGTTTCCATATTCTTTATAAAGTTTAAAGCATGATTAATTATTGTATTTAATAAATAATCTTTTAAATTAACATAACATAAAAATGAAACAGTGTCTTAAGTTTTCTAAAACATCCTACGTGCACAAGTGAGGTTGTACTGACACTGAAAGAACCAATTAGAAAGATAACACTGAAAGGACCAAACTGAATTTGGAGAAAACATAAAAATGTTCACCATAGCAATTTTTATGCCACAGTGCGCTAAGTACTTGAGGGGATCATTAAAGAAATGGAGATAGCTACCTAGCTAACCATCAGAAAAGTAGATTAGCACCAACCTAGAAGAAACAGAGCAGTCTTTGTTCAAGTTGTAATTAATAGGAGTTCTTCTACAGGAACATTTTCAAATTGCTAACAAAGAACCTATAGAGATATCAATTGTGGGATTCCTCTACCTTTTTAATTGATGCCTTCAGTGTCTATACTTAAAGCTGCTAGCATAGTCCGTAGCGAGAAGCAGTAATTCACTTGACCTATGAGATGAACTGTAGTCTAAACATACTTATGTCCACTGATCATGTAGAAAATGTAATGCACTTCCATAAATATCCATTGTCAAGAAAGCTACATTTAATCAGAAAGATCTCAGTATATTCAAATATTCAGTATAACTCAGTATATTCAAAAATATCATCAATGTTTTGATTTATCTCTTGCAATAAAAAAAACCAACATACTTATCTTTCAGTTCTGACACTTTTTGACCTACAGAGTTGAGAAGATCTTCTAATTTCTGTTTTCTCTCTTCAGTTTTCTTGAGATTACTAAAAAAAGAAAAAGAAATGCATATTTTAAGACTAAAACAGAGAAAAAATGTGTAATAGAAAAATTAATACAGATAGTTCTTTGTTATGGTTTATATCAATAGAAATACGTTTTCACTTATAAAAAAAAACTTGCAAAAATCTGTTTTCACTTTTGACTACATTTAATTTCAAAAAAAAGTTTTGAAAACGTAAACCAAACACTTAATYCAAATGTATTGTTAAAAATTAGGAATGCCGCAAATTGTTCCAGTATAAAACTTTAAGTTCTCACAAAATAATCAGTGTAATCCCTCAATTTATAGTTGATCAAAAGATTTTTTCATATTATTGTTATTCTATGGGAGAACTGACTACACTAGGTGCATGCCTAAAAAGAAAAAGAAAATGGGTTTGATAGATATGTTTTAAACATTTCTAGAATGTTCATTTCTCACAGACACATTTCAAATGAGACTGGTAACTTATGTCAGGCCAGAACATATGCAAAGCAGAGCTTTCAGGGAAAAAATATTGCATGCTTCTACATTTTCTCTCCTTCCATGAACATTTCACCATCTGTTGGCAAGGAACAGTTTCAGATTTCTTCTATTTTTAAGAAACCTGAATTATTTCTCTTTGGTCTTACTCTTACCCACCACTGCTGGAATTAAGAATACTTATTTTGCAATGGTGTCTAGCTTACGCTTCCAAGCCAGCTTTTTCTTTTTCCAAAGGTTGAATTCGTTCTAGGACATGAGAATACTTGACGTTGGCATTCACCCAAGAGGCTAATGGAGCAGCTGCAGCGCTGGCTCGTTTAGCATTCTGGAAGAAAAATAAATAAATAAATAAATAGATAAATAGATAAATAAATAAATAAATAAATAAATAGATGTAAAATTGACATAAATATAGAATAAACAACTGCAAAGATTCACTACTTGCCAATACAGATAGGAAGGTTAGTCAGTTCCTATACAGAACAGATCTTATCTTTTAAGCCATTACAGAGAGATTATATTGAGGGCCTCAAGGTTGTGCAAAGGAAATAATGGATAGCTTTACAACTCTGAAGCTTCCCTGACATTATAAAGCTCTACAGTAATCCACAACCTACCAGCGCTCCTTTTCAGGGAATCACCACCTTCATCTTAAAAGTMAAGAAGGAACTAGTATTTTGGAATTCCTTTCAGTAGTTACTGCCAAATAAAGTCTCAATTATCACTAATCCATGTAATTATCTTTATTCAATTAACTGCAAATTTCATGACTGACTGCTATAAGGAGGCCATAAAGAGCTAGTTACAACATTTTGATCTGTCTTCTTTTTTGGACCAGTGGCACAATATCTCTTGAGAACTTCAGCGCCTAAAGACTTATCTTCTTAACTTMTCTCTCCTCAATCTCACACAAATTCCTCACCGTTAGAGGCAGCATTCAACAGAATAGCCTCTGATATATTTTTCCCTCTTTTAGTGACAAAGATTTTTCCTCTGCAAGGAAAATTCACCATTGTTCTCCTCTAATTTAACTCTATATGTTTGTAAATCAACTATTGTCTTTTTAATTTTAAATAGAAAAATTAAGAATTACCTTTGGATCAAAAGACATTCTGTTTTTGGAAAGAAGTTCTTCAACACTGTCCCTTATTTCTCTTGGAATGTTACGGGCATCAAAGGTTGCTATGTCTTCTCTCACTCCTCTTTTGGCCAAAAAACTATAAAAGGTAGTAAAAGCAAGGAATAAGTTAATAATAAAGATGTTATTTCCCTAAAGTACTGCAAGGTACTAAAGTACCCTGCAGACACACACATTATTACTGAGCATAACAGAAAGTATTTTGTATTTTAAACCTTAAATAAAATGCTCACCTCTTCATGCTCACCCATGATGTATCAAAAATTCCCATCAGTCGTAATACTCCTTCCAGTATGTCTCGGATTATGTCAGGGGGCATCCGTAATGATCGGATTTCTGACAAAGACTCTGGTTTTATATTTCCAACAGCTAGTTTAGCTTCATTAACAAGTGGCTTAACATAAAAGTGTATTAAAAAAGTGAGAATACAAGCAACGGAATATTTGACTTTTCAATTTCCTAAATTTAATGTTCTTCTTAATGTTGAATATTTTATTACCTAGCCAGTCACTTTTCATATGTATTAATAATAACAAATTTAATAAAAAATAGCATATACTTATTTATGATTCCATATAACAGAGTATATTTTCATTGTGACAGTCTTTAACTTAGATTCAGCACTTCATTAACATTATGTAGATTGTAGTATTGATCATATTTACTCTTTCAGTGTTAAAAACTTTAGGCATAYGGGTCATAAAAAGCTTGTTTATTGCAAGCAGCTAAACACAAGACTGACATTGAAATAGACTTCACCCTCACTGACAAAGCAACAAAATGACGAGAAAGCAAAGGAGATCATAGAAAGCTATCCTGTGCTATAGGTATGCGATACGTATATGGTATAGGATCCTATGCTATAGGTAGCCTATTCTATAAGATTAAGATTTGATCTGAAATATGTTAATTATGTTAATTATGTTAATTATGTTATATGTTAACTAAGATCAAACAGAAAATAACTTTGAATTATGAAAAGGCAAATATAACAATAAGAATAAACTGTTTTCTAATATATGAAGAGTTTTAATATCTAATTAATTGCCAGTAAGATTTTAGAAATTACAGGACACATCCTATAAAATCATTTTGCGTGTCTGAACTTGAGTTATTCAAACAAAATCAGACTGTAAAAGATTACTTTGCCTTATCAGTTCTTACCTGAACCTCTTTCAGTTCATCTTCAATTTTTCTTTTCCTTTCTTCTATTTCCGCAGCCTCTTCTGCTATCCGTTGTTTTATTTTYTCCATTTCTGTCTTCTGCTCGCTAGCACTCTATAAGAAAGAGAAATTATCTTTAAAGATTTTCACAAATTCTATTCTACTTTCACTTCTCTTAATTCTTTTAGTCTTTGTCATARTATACTTGCACAGTAGCAGTCATGCTAAAATATGTGAAAACATTTGATGATAGTTTAATAAATACACAAGGACATGGTCTCTGGGTTTACATTTATAATTATGTGACTAAATTAGATGGACTTAAGCACCTATTGCTTCTAGCATGTCTCTAGCATGTCTCCTTCCCTTTCTTTACTGTATTATCAGCTCTATTTTTGAGTCTCCTACTACTTAAGAAAATGTAGCTTTTGAAATAACATCAAAATATTAGAGGGCATTTACACTTTCTGTTAACCTAAATAATTTATAAACATTGTTTTTGTCACTGGGCCATCATGCTTCATTATTTATAGCCCATACTTAGATTTTGTCCTACAATTTAATATCTGCCAACTCTGCAACATGTAGTTTAATTGGACAAAAGCAAACAGATTTAAACAGAAATCTGGGGAACTGGGGCCAGCAGTGCATACAGCACAGCAGACAACATACCTGCATAAACCACTCACTTTTTCTATCAAACGTGTATACTAAGAAGATACAGAATATACAGAAGTATAAAAAATGGCTAAAATAGCAAGCAGACATAAAAATGGGAAGCAATGCACCTCAACAGCACTGTAATCCAAGTGTTTTGACAGAGTAGACATTTACTTTCCTGTATACAGCAAATGGTTTTGCCTTTGAGCTTCTTTTTTTTAAGCTTTTTTCAGGCTGATCAGATTATACCAACAATAAAACAAACAGTGCAACGGGAGAGAATTCATTATGGCTTAACCTGTACTTATGATTTCTGTAAGTATTGATCTGGGCATCTACTTTCCACATAATTGTTTAATTTAAATGAGAAAATACTATTAAAGAAATTTACCTCTTCAAAACTAGAAGGTCTACCTCTGAGCCAAAGGATAAAAGTTCAAGGRCTAAGATATTAATTATCTTGTTTGATGCAGATCTCTAAGAACTAAATCTCATAAAATAAGTAGTTTATAATAGATCCACAGAGTTAGTTTATAAGACTTATTACTTAAAATTCGTTACTCATCAGTATTTTCTCTGAAGTTCATAAGAGTTATTACAAAATGTATCAGCCTGCATTTATAAAGTACTAGGAAACATTTCAGCGTAATCTGTAGCAGTAAAGGTTGCTCACGTGCAAAACTGACACTGATCTCTTCCTACTCAATCAGTTGAAATATGATCTAAATTATCTACTCCTCTCCATCCTGTTGTAATTTTTTKCAAGACACAGAGCTCATGCCTTATAGTACTCTTAGGCAACGTCTTCAAAAAACAGCAATAACAGACAAGCAAGAGAGCAAAACAAACAAACTAAACCAGAAAGCACATGCAGTTATGGAGATCAAAAGGGGAAAATGATCGTGTTTTTCGCTGCGGATGTGATTGCATACAGCACCTGCATAGATACTGTAATTTCCTGGAGGGCAGCATCAGCCTCATCCTGCTTAGTTTTAAGTAATATGCTTTGTTCTCCAGCTTTTCTGTTCAATTCATCTACAAGRGCTTTAGCTTCATTCAGCTTTGAAACACCTGCCTATAAAAGTTGAGAAGAATTAATTTAGCAAGCAACTGTAAATACATTAACCAAATGTACAAACAAGTAATATGAAGACACTAAAGGTCACATAGACTAATATTTTTTTCATTTTTACTTATAAAACAGAATGCATATTCCCAGCCCACTACTGCAAACTCACAGCACAAGTATCCCACCATTTCTCACTTGCTAACAGAGTTCTGACTGCGTATGATTCACCTTCTGATCTTTCCAAGGGAAATCTCAATAGATTTTACTGAAAGTTCAACAATCATCTTTACCTTTGAATGAATTTTTTTCCATATTTTCCCTATCTAGGACATTTTTTAAATACTTTTTTAGCTCAAAAGGAAATTTGAAACTCAATGTGTTAGCGTAAGGTCTTTCATTCTGTATCAAAACGCTGAAAACTAAATCTCAGTAAAATTTTTAAAGAACAGTAAATGGCACAGAATTTCAATCACATCAATTTATATTTCCTCTCCAGACTCATTTCTCTCTAAAAGAAAATCTACAAAAATTAAACAAACTGGAGTAAACTAGACTACCCTATTTTCCRTAATTGTACGTTCTCTAAGGAACATTGGTGTATATGATTTAAAACTTCAAATACATTTTAAATTTACAATCTCTTTATCAAGACAAACCCACCTGGCTGCCAACCTGTGCCATGTGCTCKATGTCACAGAATCATAGAAAGGTTGGAAGGGACCTCAGAGGTCATCTAGTCCAACCCCCCTGCTCACACAGGGTCACCYAGAGCACGTGSCACAGGGCTGCATCCAAGCGGGTTTTAAAGATCTCCAAAGAAGGAGACTCCACAACCTCCCTGGGCAGCCTGTTCCAGTGCTCTGTCAGCCTCACATGTCTCCCTGATGGAGCAGGAAGGTTGGACTAGATGATCTCTATAGGTCCCTTCCAACCTTAAGCATTCTGTGATCCTCTGACTCTGTGAACACCTTTCTAAACGATTTGCTACATGATAACAATATGAAAAAAAAAATCAAAATCTATTTCAAATATTAACTTAAAGATTTTGATTTAGGATACATGTMTCTAATATTCATGTAAATAACTACTTTCATTTAATCAGACATGAACATAGACTTGAGTGCTTTACACAGACAAATCATAGCCCAATTGCAGGTATTTTCAAAAAAAAAAAAAAAAGCAAAAAAAATCTATCATGACGAACTTAAATCTTTGAAAATTGCTTAGGACAGATGGAAAAACAATAGCAGGCAGAATAAAAAGAGCATAACAGCACAAAGCAAGGAAGTGATATGCCTTTGAAAGATGTTTATCCTGATAAATCTCTTCCTTAAGAATAATTACAGTTTCGCAAGTGGGATTTCAGACAGCAGTAAAAGTCTGCTGGGAAGAGGAGCTGAAAGGGAAAGGAGAAGATGGAAGTTGTATGTCTTAAAGGACCATACAGGTCTTTCTAGAAATATATTATGAGGAAAAAAATATAAGGAAATATTGACAGAAACATACAAGTGACTTTTTAAAATAGGTCTATTATGAATACAGAACAGGAGTAACAGGTAGTGATGTCCATGAGACGAAGTGCATTCGGTCTAGAGCTTTGTAAAGCTTTGATATATGAAAATGAGTTTGAAACAGACTCCAAAACATGAAGTGAGGGTAAATCACAGACAAGGGAATCTTGGCCGAAGTTAAAGAGCATTGTAAGTCCAACAATATCTTGTTCAACTAGAAAGACGCAAGAATTACACAAAAAAGGAAACTGAAGTAGAGATAAATGGATGGATTATGCAGCTACAGGAGGAAAAATTATACAAGCAAAGAGGCAGGAGTTAAACTGACGTGAAGACTGTTGGTTGCAAGAAATTTCTACTTCATATGGCTATAAAAAAATGAAAATACTTACAATTACTATCTAAACAGCATACTTATTTTGATAATCATGAGAAAAAGCTAAAAARTTAACAAAAAGAGGAACCATTCTTCACTCTACAAGGCATATGAACAAAGATGTGCATTAAGACTCAGAGCAGTCCTCTCCTGAAACCATATACAGACTGAGGATATCTTACACAACTGTGCTATCAGCTGCCCCTCATAATACACTGTGCTAAAAGCAGCCCYTCATAATGCCCAAAATTTGAGAGTAATTTGGAAAAATGTTTGTGTTACATACCTGTAAGTGTTTCTGCCTTTTTAGCAGTTCACTTYTTTTACTGCTATTGATGGTACTATACATACGAAGAAACGTCATATACCTGCTGGGAGTTGCTCCATACATTTTACATGATTCGTGGATTGTCAAAAATGATCTCAAAAACACAGAATCACCTACATAACATAATTTGATAGGCAGAAAATAATATAACATAATTATCTAACATAAAATAACTAAAACCAAAACAATGTTTTTTTTTCTGAGAATAAAGTTTATAAAACTATATGCAGTGTTTGCTTGTCACAGAAAATAATTGCATTTGATGACCTATGATGAACATCTCAAACTAATATTCTCATGTGAACAATGCTGAAGTCTATGAATCTGCTGGCAAAACCTGCTTGCCAAATACTATCATCCATGCCCAACACAGCACTGAAATTTTGTGTTTAATAATAAGCAAGAGTAATTAAAGAACAGCCATACTAATTTGCTGCATTAAAGTATTACCTGAATGTTTTTTCTTAAATTCTGTATATGTTTTTCCAGTCTCTTGTTGTTCATCAGGATCCTTCAAAAGCATTTCAGGTATCTAAAAAATAAACATAAATTATTTTGTACCAAAATTATGTAAAAAGAAACTTTAATATTACAAGAATTTAATTTGGTTGCTAATCTGAAAAGACTGAAAAATATAACTTTATTCAGAATAAAGGATTTACAGAATAGTTATTGCCTTGAAAAGCTCTATTTCTCAACACCCTGTAAACTGACCGACTCTTCTCTCAAGCAGAGTAGCCTTGGCTGGCTGTAAGATGGAGCAGCTAAATCCCAGAGAACTATTAAAATAACAGAAATGCCAAATAGTAACAAAGTATACAATTCAATGGAAATCCTACAAAATTAAGCAAAGCTAATATAGCACAGGAATTAAACAGTTCTTAATTTTAAGTCTTTAAGCTTATATATATAGAATACATGTTAAGCTTTGCCATTGTTTGTGTGTTAATTGCTTGTTATATCCAAGAATACATGTTAAGCTTTGCCACTAATTGGACTCTGGGTCATAGAGCTGTGGCAGCCTCCCTACAATCAAGGTACCAGATTTGGCAGCATTTTAACGTATAAAATTACTATATGTCTTTCACAAAATTGTATCATGAGCATCCTGAAATAAATAGGTTTTGTTTCTAAAAAGAACACAGTGAAACTATTCCATCTAGCAAAACACCATAAAAATATTCAAGAATAACAAACAGTTTAAAAGAAGTAACAGGCCAGAACTACTACACAGCAATTTAACATCTTTTGTGCTTAAATACTTCATTAGCTCATAGMTATTGTAAGTAGTGAGCCTTTTGCTCAACTCCACCCACAAAGAAAACAAACATACCATTACTGGTGAAATAGCATTGTTTGCCTGTTTTATATTATCTGTCTTTATAGTACTGCACAACTGTTCTTCCACTAATTTAGATATTTTTTCCTCTTTATCAGAAGAGTCTTCTTTACCAGTTATACAAATGCACTCTTTTAAACAAGTGATATCACAGTTTTTGACAATTGGAATATTTGCAAAATGTCAACAGAGTATCTAAAATTGTTAAAGAGGTTTTTTCAAACACTAAAACACCCTTGGTTTATATAAAAAGTATGTAAATGTTGAAAGATGACATTCACAAAATAAAGCTACTAATTTTGGCTACTTTACTTMTGCTACTTTGCTTTTACCTTTTTCATACTATTTTCAGACCAGCTTTCCATCCACAAGACCTGACATTTCTTGTACAGTGCTGGATTACTTTCACAATTTATTGCAAAATTTAAATTGGTAGAATCCATGATCAAGACAACATGCAGATTCTGTTGGATTCCTAAAGAAAATGCATTACATCAAAATATTTAGTAGCAAACTGACTGCATAACAGAGTTACTGTAAATACAAACCATTTTACTAGTCTGACTCATTCAAATACTTACCACAAACAAATCTCATTCTAAACAATTTAGACACCATTAGAAGTACTTTAGGGGCCCTTAATTATGTCCACCAATTTCTGTTTCAGTCACATTCTTATATTTCTGAACTAAGGACTTGTTGGTCTAAGAAAGAAGGACAAATTACTAGAAAAGCTCTGTAAACACAAACTTTTATATGACATCTCAAACTCCAGAATGATTTGCTGGCATAATTATTTTCCAGAACTTTAAATAGAGGGAAGGAGACTCTGTTATTAGATAAGCAGTCTAAACAAGGCAGAAAAGAATGTTGAGCCATGCTTTCTTCCTTCCAAACGACTTTGARCAGCATAATTCTGTACAGAACACAGATACGTAACTTCAAGAAGAACAATTTTTAAGCTGAGGATTGTATTCCCTCAAATGCCTATAATCATTATTCTCTACTGTTTTTTTTGTTTGTTTTTTTTTTAAAGTTAAAACATATACAAAACAGGGATCACCCTTAGCAACTATTTGTTCATTAATATACCACTACTGCATATTATTGTACTTAGTAACTTATATCATTCTGATCACATACTGTATGTGAAATAGTTGAAAATTGGCCCTGTAAATCCATCTTGTGAAGCTTGATCCTTCAGAGGAGATAGCAAGGGTTCCAATTCTTCTATTTTATATAGTCCAGGAACTTCTCCTATTTGAAAAATGAATTTAAAATATCTGATCAAATACACCAGAACTTCACAAAATCTTTTGAACATTCAATCTATTGAATTTCTGTGCTGTAGTATTTACCTCCATACTTTCAATATAAATGATATTGTTAAAAGAATAAACCAAATGATAGCTATTTAACAACCAAATTCATATCACTGAAATATACTTTAAACAGCTCAGTAAAATCTATCCAGACAGTGCTTCATAAGAAACAAACCAAAACAAACTTCATAATACATCCAAAAACAGAAAAATGAAGCAGCAGCGTTATCTAGGTCTCCCTGGGTCTGAGACCCAGTCATAGGGATTTAACATGGCAAGACAAAAAAATGGTACTGTAAGAACTGAATTTGCACATGTGAGCCAGCTTCCGAACTACTGTAGTTTTCCAATCAAAGCTTTATCTCAAATTAATAATAATGTAATTGACTCATTATACTAGACTGAAAACTGCAATATAAAAATTGAGAGGCAGGGCAAGCAAAGGAGATTCATAGAACAAAAACATAAATATTTTGCTACTACGATACTTTAAAGACTTTTAAAATATTTACTTAATTTGCAAATTTGAGGATTTGAAAGCACACTGTAGGTAGTAGCTTGGAAGATAGCTGAATTGTTTCATGTATAGGAAGCATTCTAGCTACAATATCACAGAAACTAAATAACCCCTCTGGTTTGGCGATCAACTAGTATGGATACAAGGTTAGAAAGAAAAAAAATAATCTAATTCTGCCCCATTGAATTAATTTTGTGTAGTAAAAGAGCACTTCTTTTTTTTTTTTTTTTTGCACTTGTCTGACCGGAAGAGAGCAAACTGTTGATCATCTCGAGGAATGTGGAGTGAACAAACTGATAGTCCTCAAGCAGCAATACCACTTGCTGGGCTTCGATGCCAGCAAGCTCCATCACCTAGAAGCAGATAAAATATTTAAATCTCAGTATATGAAATATGGGTATTACTTCATAAGAGAACAACAACCTCTTCAGGACTATATATTACATATATATTTTTCCTATAGCATCTAGGTTGTTATGTTTATACATTACAAAAGATTACATGAGTTATCTGACATATCAAATATAAAAAGAAATCTACATAAGATAACTAGAACAGATTCCTTCTTACAGTATATTAATGTTCCAAATGTGAAGCAGTTAAGCAATTCCATCATCTTTCATATAGGCTTAGCTCTGGAATTTTACTTAGCTGTTCTGAAGGCATTGGCAACTCTTGATTCAAATGATCAAGAGTTTATTAATAATCAAAATATGTTTTAAGTAATGTTTACATTTTTATAAATCACTAACATTTTTTTTGATTCAGGCACTATGCAAGGCTGATCCTATTAGGGACAGAATATGAAAATACACCCCTTAAAAAAAAAAAAAATCTTTCAAATTCACATGGGCTCAGATTTTATAAAATGTACAGCTCTCAGTACAAGGTTTCAGGTATTCAAAAAAACTGAGTGTTTTGATCACTTAATACAGAGAATACACCTGAGCACCAAGAACTTCTACAAACATGTTTTTTCATTCAGACCACTCGCTTTATATTTTCCTTGAAACTATTTTTCTAGAGGCTCCTACACACAATTTTGTGTCCTTTCAAGTTCCCATAACCACTTTTTTAACACAAGCATTCAAAACAACAAAATGGAAGACATTGAGTGACTTACATGTTTAAGGTCATTTTTGAATTGCTTCAGCTCATAGCCTCTAGAAATTTTGGGAGTAATCAGAACAGCTCCATGCATATGACTAACTAACGACGTAACTGTTCGACGACCGACACCACTCCGTCCAGCCAAAAGGAGTGATCCTCCAGGAAAACTTAACACTCTGTCCACTCTGGACATATARTTGATGACTTCTTGGAACAGTAAAATATCAATCTCTTTTTTGTCTCGCCCATAATGGGTAATACCCTATTAAAAAAAAAGAAACAAAGAAATTTGTTCTTTCGTAATAAATATAAGTATTAAGATAGGGAAACACCCTATATTTGTAAAGTTAGAAATGATATTATCTCTCTAATTACTTACACTACTGAACTTCTTTGCCCATAGAATCTCTTAACCAAAACTGAGCAATTAAGGGGAAAGGAATAGGCCTCTGATCTGCAAAAGCAGCGCATCMAACTTTATCAATAAAGAGCAGATCACCTCATCTCTTATCTGAAAATCAGACGTGATTAGTAGAGTTAACATGCCTGTATTTCTTCTTCTGTTTCATTTTTTCATACTTTATTCTTTAAAAGCATGACAAATATCAAAACTACATATTTGCATCCTTTCAATATTTTTTCAGTGTTTCTCAAAATGTTGCCCGTCAGACTGTGCTAAGTCACCAGGAAATGACCCTTAGGCTTTTCCATTAAAGCAACCTTGATGTGTGATACTTCCTCCTTCAGCCACACAGCRTGTGAGACCCTCATTTGGCTAAACTCAGGATTTGAATCCCCAAACAAATGGCAGACYCCAAACTAAAGACCCCAAACTAAACCAGACATCTGCATGCTACTTCTCACACACACACAAAAAAAATCTCTGATTCACTACTGTGTATTTTAAAAATTCAAGTAGTATTTGCATATAGTGCTTAATCTCGACTCACCTTTTTAATAATATCTCTCAGGTCTGCAGAGTTTAGCCTGCCAAGAGGCTTCCCATGAGGTGGTAGTGCCTGTCCTGGAGCAACACATGCCTCACGACAAGCTCCCCAAGTTACATAGAAGATATCTGTGAAAATAAAAGGAAACATTTAGAAGGGTAGGACTTAATGGTAACTGATTTTATCAAACTGATTGGATTAGGTAGCTCCTAATCAAATATTTCAAGCTTATGTAATATCTCTTAAATGCTTTACCTGACATATTATCCAAGACATCTGAGCCCCAGTCACCTTGAAATACTTTCATTAAAATATTATCAAATATAGAGAGTTCTTTCATGCCAACAATTTTGTCACGGAATAAACGATGTGCTTCATACGTAACAATTTCCAATACATAGTCTGCAGTTTGTGTTGATGATCCTACAGATTTTTTAGAGAAGATTATTATTATAACAAATTCAATGCTTTTCAAATTTTCTATTTCAAAATATTAGCTCAAAAATGAGTGAGATTACATACCACCAAAAGAGCATCAATATGGAAGACATAAGAGAAAAAAAAAACAAACATTATGAAGCAATTAAGAAYACTTTAATGCATCATTACAGTATAAAATTAAAGACATATTGTTAAAAAGAGCTCTCCAGATCAGTGCATGCAACCTATTGGAAATGCACAAGGTGGTGTGTACAGAATCAGAACAAAGAGCAATAAAATACTTAGCAATAAAAAAAACACACAAAAAGCAGGAGATTGTTTTCAAGGAGAAAGAAAATGACTGATAGTAAGTAGTAGACTAATAATAAATCCCTCGAACAGGTAATGTCTATTATAAAAAGCCCTAAGTATAGTGTATATAAGTGTATAAAACTTCAACACTTCTCTCAGAAATAAGAAGCAGGAAAGTGAGATGAAATTCAGAGACTAAATGTATTGTTTATCACTGAAAAAGCATAAGCAAAAATTAGACCTTGAAAGGTGGAGATTACCTATTAATTGACTGCCAGTGTTGCTTTTCTGTCATCATTTGAGCTACATTGTTTTATACCAAGGATCCAAAAAAATAATGGAATATTAGCATAACATTAGTTTTAAATGTGTTAAGCCAGTGTGTTAAGTCACTTCTCTAGGTAATTAATTAATGTAAGAAATAAAACATAATAAGGAGCAGTTGTTCATGATCTGCTAATAATAACAATTTCAAAGGCAGGACAAATAGAAAATAGAAAGTAGCATAAGTTGTCCATCTGGAAAAGCATCTGAAATTAAACACATTTCGCCTTTCCCAAAGTCCAAGAAAAGAACTTTGAGACTACACTTTAGTTACGAAGCATTCCAAGACTATGAGAATATTTACGCATTATGTAGATATTTATAAATATTTATATAGATGAGGTAAATTTCTATATATTTACAAATTGTTATATTCCTCTTTTGTTAAGTAGGTCATATATGGCGTTGTTCCACAGTCACCTCACAAGGTATAAACAATCAAGAATATAAAAAGAACCATCAGTAGCAAGCCTCTGGGAATCCAAAAGTTGTTTCATCCAAAACCACCACCACCACCACCACCAAAGGCAGTAACTGGGAAACTACAGGTTCCTACAGAAACCAGGTGTGATTTAAAACATCATAAAGGTTTTAAAATTTGTTTGCTATATATTACAGGATGGGGGTTTTTTTGTCTTTTTTTTTATATGTTTTTTTAATATATCTTTTTTTTTTCCTCAAATGAGTTAAGTTAGACTGTTCCTGGCTTAAAAGGAGTACAGTAAATGAATAAGTTGCAACAGTTAAAATATCTAGTAAAAATATCGACATTAAAAATATCTTGAGACATTTCAGAAATATTTTATCATTGACAGTAAAATAGGTGACTTACCAGCTGCTAAATCATATCTGAATAAACCCAGAACCCACTGAGTAAGAACACACGGTGTAAAGAGGTAATGACTGTGATCATCAACTGTGAATTTTGCCCGTACCTAAAAACAGAAGTCAAAAAAAATGCTTTAAATTGTAAAGCAATTTGTCAAGCAAAGATTTATTCTTTTTTAAACTATATAACTTTGGTTTGTATTAAGAGTATATACTAAGATATTTTACCAATGCATTTTTTTTTCTGAAAAAGTATGAAGGTTAATAGTGCAAATTCTATTTTCTGAGAACAGATTTTTTTTTAAATTATAATATTTCTTCCATGCCATTTCTRAGGCAAGGAACTGCATGTATTACCTAGCACTTTCTTAATTTAGCAGTATTATACACAATCTCTTCAAAAGAATAAATCTTACCCAATAATAAATGCAAAAGAAATATGTGGAATAAAAAACTACATAAACAAATAACATTCACTCGCTASAAGACTTATCATAGAAATTTTCATTCTTTATTCAGAAAGAATATTTGAATTTACAGCTTTAATTGAAACCTCCATCACCAGTTATTTAATTCTGGTGTGATGAAATTTAAACTTAGATTTTTTTTTAGAGAACTATGATAATATCATATGAAATTTGTGGTATTTGATGCCTAATAGTTGGTGGCATGGAGAGCATTTTTTGATAGGGTTCTGTATAGACRAGGATATTCTCAGGACATGCAGTAAGCTCTCACATATCCACCCCGCCTACCCCAGTAAGACTATTTACAGGACTCAGAGAATTATTTATGTGTTTTGCTAGGAAAAGGTTGCTAAAAAAAAAAAAGAAAAAAAAAGAGAACCAAAAAAGGCATTTGTGTATGTACTTTAAAAACCTACTTTTAATTGTGTAAGCATTTTAATAGGTAGTCCTTGATGTGCATAAGAGAGCATCCTCATAAATCTCTTTGAGATTTATATAACATCTAGAATACCGGAGTACATAACAACCTTTAAAGTATATTATCTTCTTATATAGTGTAACAAGACAGTAGGAAAACACTATTACCTACATTTTATAAGTCATGAACTGYAAGCATATATCGGTTATATGTTTGCCAGAGTCGTACAATAAAGTTGCGGCAAAGCAAGAGCACTTAATGGTATACGTTTGGTTCTAATACACAGGAGCCCCTGTAGATGTATACCTCATTAATACTGATAATSAACCCCGTGAAAAAAATAATGCTTTATATTTTAATAACAGTAAAATTTTCAATCTCTTTTTAATATCCAAGCTAATGATTAAACATTTTTATTTCTGAATTCTCCATCTCCAACAAAAAGAAGTTAATTTTTTTATACCTGCTCATATACTTGAACCATAGATCCTGCTAGCTGGTGAATTTTTGGTAAAGAACCCCAGGCAGGGTGATTCTTCAGGTTTTTGTGTAGTACAGGTTCCAGGTAGGCACTGTAAATAGYCTGCAGTTGCTCTCTCTCTGGATAGCTACATGGAAAAAAAAAAAASAAAAATACTTAATTTCATTTTTATATTAAGATAGAATTAAAAAGTAAATATATCTCAATATATATTTACATATCTTCAATGTGGTCGAGCTTAACAAAACTTCTTCTCCATTTCTCTAATCCTGTAGAAAAAAGGCACCTTAACAGAAAACTGCAAATTAGATACTTACTGAAAGCAAGATCACTCAATAGGAAATATATTTCAAACACTTCACTACAATAGGTAGCTACAGATTGTTCCTTAAATAGTTCGTAATGCCAGGAGGCGCTAAATAGAATATCACCTCTGAAGATCACAAAAAGCTAGAAAACATGAGGGGCTAGAAAATGCCAAAAACAATCACAGACCAGATCTCTGTATAAACTTAATTCAGGAACAACATAAATAGAAGCTAAATCTGAGTTCTCAAAGTAAAAAGAGTTTCCATATACTTACTCAATTGCACAAATCCGAACAATAGAAGTAAACCTGGTAGTAAGTTTATGCCTTCCTAATGTTCCTCCAGCAGACATAGAAGCCACAATTTGGATGTTTTCCAAACCAACCCATTCCAGGTTTTCATCATAAAATCCTTGGTATGTCAGAATCTTTAATAAACAAATATTTTATTTTAGTTTTTTATAATTTATAAAAAGATCACCAGTAAGGAATTGGTTATTACCAATTGGTTACTCTCCCCCCACCACCAAATTGGTTACTCCCCCAACTCCCCCAAAAAAGTATACTATTGCCACTGTTTTCTTAATGGCCAGTAGTATGCTCAGTTCTAGTGTATTTTTCCATAGCAGAGTCTAAAATGTTAATTCTCAAAGAATTCTAAAACCCTGTCAACAAAAGTCAGTGTTACATTTTGTGAGGAAAGAAAAGTAWATGTAGGCTTGAATTGTTCAAATTAGTCACTAACTCTCCCTGGGAATAAGCAGCTAACATGAATACAGGTTCCTTGCCTTAAAGAGAGAGTAGGCAATAAACATAAATGATAGAAAAACACTGGAAACTTTACTTTGAGCAAATCCTAAGTTTTGAATGGTTTTATATCTGAAAGAAAAAATACATACTAAAAAGGATCAGATCCAGGAAAGAAAATGGATAATACACACACTACACAAATGAATATGTATTACCTAGTATCTTTTTCAAAATTATCTATTATCTTTTTCAAAAACACAAATGTTTACCTGCTGCAGAAAAGCCACGAGAGTGCTTGTTCCCCACTTGTCAGGTTTGGGCAGATTGATATCCTTTAAGTACAAAACAAGCCTTTCACAGTCCTTTGGTCTGTATACTCGCCCGGTGTTTGTACTGATTACGATGCAGGTTTGACTTAATTTTTGCAGAAGATGTTGAGAGGTGGTTTGTGCGCTGCAGTGAATAGTAGCAATTTGCGTGGATCGGAGTTGAGAAAATGCATAACGAAGCAGCATCCTAACAAAGAAAACAAAGAAATGATGAGCAGGCATCATACATAAACGTGTTAAAAATACTGTTTACCCAAAGATACTTTACATTTTTTTTTTAATTAAAATGCATTCCAGCACATATTGTACACAGTGTAGGTGTGTTGAAGGTGCCGAACTAAATATTCTTGCCTTTAAAATGGCATTGTTTTCCATTCAGGAAATTCAATAGAATAATATTACAGAGCTTCATTAAATAAATATCCAGTCTTTAAGAAACAATATATGCACACTATTCTTTCACAGAGTTTGGTGGAAGTCATCAGGCCTCTGCAGAAAAGCCTCAACAGTCTACATACATATTGCACAAAGCAGGAACAAAATGAATTCTTAGGGATAAAAGAAGAAACTAGATAATAACCTTTTCCTCGTAAGACTTGCAATCATTAAAGACACGATATAACTCTTTATCCATACCATTAATTATCAAGATTCCAACGGCAGTGCAAAAATAACAACTTGTGAACAGTACCTCAAAACAATTTCTCTTCCAATAAGGATCTAAATTCCTGACAAAAATTGATGAATCATACTTACTCCCAAAAGATCAGAAGACTGAACCTACCTAAATAAGAAATCTAGGAGAGGCAAAAGGAGCTAAATGAGATGAGATAAGATATCTCATGTGCTTCACAGATACTGCTCCATAACGGCACCAATCCTCCAAAGACCCTTTTCCCTATCCACTGGCCTCATACAGATGCCTCACRTACACTGTGGCATGTCAAATGGTGCTACTGAATCAAGCCTGAACTTTCACTGGAGATCTTCCAAGGAATTTATCGACTTGCCACTATAGAAGGATTGATTCRGGTTTTCTGTAACTATCAAGAATCAAGAAATTCTATGAAAAAATGCATTACTATGAGGTTTTACATGCTTTATCACATGGTTAGATATATATTTTGCTTAAAATAGATACTATTTTTTTACCCTTTTCCACATCCTTCAGGACCCACAAGAAGAAATGGCTGCTTATTGTTAAAATCTAGCCAAGGTTTAAAGTAATCTAATCCTCTCTGCATGTCAGGGGTTTGGATGACAGGAAGTGTTTGCAGATTACTGAAGTCATCAGCAGTTAGATTTTCAGGTTTTTTCAGTTGATATGTCATTAGCTGTCCAGTGTCAGTATCATAGTATGTGTCCAGAGGCTTCCTGGGATCAGGTGGAGATTCTCGTGCCCATGTAAAAATCTTCCAAAAAAAGAAAAAGAAAAAAAAAAAAAGTTAAATCTGTATTCCTGATGACAAATCTATAATTTTAAGTTCATCTAAAGAATGTTGTTATAAAATCAAGCATCTAATAACAGCCTCCAGGAAGTGCTTTCTAAAGGCAGCATGGACTACTATAACCACAAAGTTTTCCAACACTGTTTCCATAGTCTTCATGCCCTCACGTATCTATACAAAGACAGCACCCTACCACACACAACACACAGAACACATAACACTCATCTAATCCTCTACAAAATGCAGCAAAATACTTCAGGCATGAGGTACACCACCWTCCTCACATTATTTCAAGCACCCTAAACAGAAAAAAAAAGACACAAAAAAATAACTCTTGTGTAACCAGAGATGCAGTATGGACACACATTGCTCTGTAGGAACCTTGCATAAAGCAGTACAAACAGAGGCCAAGCAATTCCTGTTTTGAATGGGTGCACTTAGTGGTGCAGACATCCCCTTTGCCTGCAACATATAATAGTTTTCTCTACTTCTAAGACAACTTCTAAGGCACTTCCCAACAGACAACACTGTTTTTAAACATATTAGAGCACAAAAAATCTGTTACTGTAAATCTGTACTGATAGAGGATAGAAAATAACCCTTCTACGTGTACTGACAAGTTTATGAAAATCTTGTTGAAAAGTTTACCTGTTTTGTAAACTCTTGTCGTGATTTCATGTTGAGATTGCCACCAAGACCCCGTAATAAGTTAATGATAAACTGCCCACGATCAGTACATCCATGTAGATGAGAGAGTCCATTCATCACAGTTCCAACTAGACTTGTTTCTACCACATAGTCATTCTGTAAATTTAAAGTTACTAATTAAAAATATTATTCAATGTTCAAGTGTCTCAACATCACTCTTGTTCTAGAAAACTCACCTTCTGTGAAATTATTTTTAAGCATTGACTTGAAAATTTTAACCTATTTATTGGCATCATTAAAGATAAACCATCAGAACATACAGACTATGAGACTCTAGAAGAAATCAACATAACTGCACACTGGAAATCTCTCTTGTAAATGAGAGTAATCTCTCTTTGTTTACAGATTTTGTACTTTAGCACCAAAGCGGATTTGCAGAATGAGAATCAGTGTCATGTTTCTTCTGCATTCATCCGAAATCTAAACACCTCCTTGGGGGAAAGAACCCAAAGGGGAAATAATATCAAAAATACAATAGCACCATTTATACTCTCCAGTAGGAGGTAATAGAGATCTCACAAATATTATTTTACTATTCACAGCAGTAGGGATTTCTCCTAAATAATATTTTTTGCATCACATACCATTTGCTCAAGGCAAATGCAATTCCTTCAGAAGATGCATAAAGTCAGGTAATGATNAAAAAAAAAAAAAACCAACAAAAACACCTGTAGAGGAATAAGGCTCTATATATACATTCTAGAATGGTAGTATTGCGGTGTAAGTATAGGACTTTGGATCAAACAAAATTAAATCTACTTGAAGGGAAAATCATTTTCTAGAGAGTTATTATGCTTTTTGCATATTAAAAAASCTTTTTCTTAAAATTTTGAGTAGAACGTCACAGTTAAAGTTACTTCCTTTAACACAGGATAGGTTAGTCAGAGATGTGAAAATCAAGCTTTCTGAACAATCAGACTGATTTTTTTTTTGAAATCTGTAATTTTAGGAGTCTAGTGTTATATTTCTCCCCATCTCATTAAAAACTACAAACAATGTTTCAATTTTCTTTTTTGTTACAGGCAAATTTAAGTTTAGAAAACCAATCCTTTCCCTTTTTCATTTTTTATAGTTGTTCAGATCTTTTAGATATTTGAAAATATAGAAAGAGATATCTGATACAGAAAATCAAATAGGGATATTTAGTTTCACAGGAATCCCTGAATCTAACAAGTTAAAACTGCATTCAAAGCACTATACCCTTAAAGCTACCAATTACAAGGAACTCAGAGATTTTAACACTTTCAATAATGGCCTTATTAGCTAATAGCTACCAAGAAAGCCCTGTAATTTATTTTTACTTAAAGTTTTTCATTAATGTGAATGAGCAGCTCAGTGTTAGTCTAGGAAAAAAAAAAAAAAGATTATCTAAATATAAGTTGAAAATTTATTAAACACAAACTTCACTAACCTGCTTTACAACCCAGTTTAAGGCCTTCTCAAAATAGTCTCCAATCCAGTTTTCAAGGTTATACCGGTATTCCTCAGGCTGACTTCTTAGCCAAGACTTTATTAGAGAATTGAGATCTGTGTCTTCATCACTAACTCAACCAAAAAAAAATTTCAAACAAAGGTATGATATGCACATCTTAAAGTAGATAATGTTTAACATAAAATTCAACAACAACATTCTAATAAAAGTTTAGGGAAATATTTTAACGTATGGAATTCAAAACAATATTTTAACCCTTTGAGAATCACACAGGAACTGCCATGTTCCTTTCAAGAAGTCTTGAGACCTACCAGCCAAAAGGCTGGAAAATGACAACTTAGAAGTAGCYAGAAACCTAAGGCCAGTTCTGCCAGCAATTAGATTTGTAAATTTAGACAATTAATCAAACCTCTCCATAGTTTAGACTCCTTTTCATGAAAATAAAGGTAAGAATACTCGCCTACTTTCAAAAGTATGTAACATCTCTGTGACTTACCTCAAAAAGATCATTCCCATTCGAGATATTGTAGCAGGAGAGGCACAGCTAAGATCATGAGTTTCAAATATAAAGTTAACATTTGAGCCAAATTGGATTCTTTCTCCACTAGGCATAGTTAACAATCTGTTGTCATCCAGAACAGAATTCAAAGACTCAATCCATTCAGGATCAATGTCACCATCACAAATTATCCATGAAGTAATGTCTATTTCCAGACATAAAAACAGAGTATCACACACAAGAAAAACTCTGGCTATTTTAACATTATTACCTTTTATTTACTGTGATTTAAACCTGAGTTCTTTAAAGATACTCCCTATGSTCATCATTTTTGAGGTCTATTTGTATTTTTTATCACAAAAACTTGGAAAATTGATTGGCCAATCAATAGATCGCCAAATGTCACAAATGAAAAATAATGTCAAATGTAACTGCAAATGAGCGATTTCAGTAAATCAAGCATACCTCGGGGCTCTCGCACCACTTGTCGAGCGCTGTTGGTGAGCATGCCGTCAGACCACTCCCGTGTGTCCATGTCAATGTGGCCAAGCAACTGATGCCGAGGCATAGCTTTAGGATTCATAGTGTACTGTTTCACTACTCTGCCCGTTTTACCAAGCGCTGTCTTTAGCATCCGCCAAAGTGTTGATTTTCCTGCACCACTTGGACCTACAATAACTACACCCATTCTTTGATGTAGTTGTTCATACAATTCCAAAGCCTTCTTGATCTAAATATTAAGGAGAAAATGGCTGGGTAAACTTGTAAAGCTGAGTTAGTCATGGTTTTTTATTCATATTTTTTTCTTTTCATGCATTCATTTTATTTCTGTTTTTTCTAAATTATAGGTAATTGTCATTAAAACTATAAAGAATATCAAAAAACTTATTTTTCATATCACAAATATTTCATAAATTACTAATAGAAAACCATCAGTCCTCTTTGGACATACTCCAGGCATACTGTGAAACTAAAGAAACTTCAGACCTAAAATGTCTGCCCTAAAATAAATAAATACAGCTAAGATACAGAATTTCTTGATAAAAACAGATGTTCATATAATACTTTTATTTTCCAGAATGTTAATAAGAGTTTTTACCTGGCTAGAACTAAACTATGTGCCATAAGCTCACATCTTATTACTAAATTTCCTTGCGTTATTTTTCTCTCAGTTACACAAGTGATTGGGTGATGACTTTGGGGAACAGGTGCTATGGACAGAGCAATCATATACATTTAATTAAAATCTAACTTTTAGTTACTATCTCTTTTTTTTTTTGGTAACAGATATCTTTCAAAAAAACTAAAAAAAAAAAAATAAAAAGGGGAGGAGTGCATGGATCAAATGCATTATTCATTACTCCTAATTCAGAATAACTCTTTTTTTCAYAGTTATAGTTGATATGTACCTGAGTGCTTATAATTTCCAAATTTGCTTCTTCAAAGGCTTGTTGTAAAGCTGCACTTAACTCAGCATACTCCACATCTTTAAAGGCAATGCCAGGGAAGACATCTTTAACCAGTGCATCAAATCGTGCACAGTCTGCAAACGTAAGCTTTGACATGGTGTTAAGCCGCAAGGCCTGGACCACCATGTGGCTTTCATCAACTACAGATGAGAAAAGAAGGAAAGAAAAAGAAAAAAAAAAGTTTGTTTTTATTTAGTCTGGTTGAATTATTGAATTATCGACACTTGAACCCAAACTGATAAAACATCAAAGGCAGAACCACCAGTTTAGTGAGACGTAACAGTTTTCAGAAATTTCCATATATTCAAACATGAAGCTATAAAAAGGCAAAGTTGGGAACTCTAATGGGAATGAACCATAAAATATATTGCTGGCAACCTTTCTTCAGCAGAGCCAAAACACTTGCTGCTTAAGCAAGCAGTCATTGTGTTCTAAAGACCTGAAATGCTTATTCACCATATATTCTTGTTTCATCCATTTAATATATAAACAAAAAAAAATCAAAACTACCTAGACAAAACACCACCCCAGTTCAGTCCAATACATGTCTATCATTTCTGTCTGTCATTACACTGGCCCATATTTACCTACCAGGTAATCTGGTTCATATTTTTTCAAAGTGATAACAGACTTCAAAAATAACCAAAATGTTAAGATCATCTTACCATTAGAGGCTGGACATGCCTGACTAAAAACTACAGAACCTCAGAATTGCTGCAGAATAAACCTCTGTAACTTCTCATAAAAAAGACATGAAAAGAGTCTTTTATARTCTCCTGATAAAGAGCAACTTTCACAGATTTTTTTTTCTTTTTTCTGTATAGCTTCTTGATCCAAGACACGGATTCTCAAAACTCCRCTGAAGAAGAAAGCTATAGATGATTATTTCCACCCAATATCCTAAATAAACAAGAGTTTGGCACAGTGAACCTTACTTTCTTCCTTTGTTTCACGCCTCTTTCGCTGACGAAGGAGACTCCCGCAGCCTCTCAGAGCAGTCTTCAATGCTCGTAAGCCCCAGTCATAGTGCTGCTGTGGTGTCAAAAGCTCCCTACATTTAAAAACAATGTTCATATAAGCTTCAGGTGATAGTTCTAGAATTTATTTTACTTGGCCAGTGAATATGTTCACAGTATRTTGCTGGATAAAACTAAAATAGGCATAATTCATGAAAAAAATCAGACATATCAGCAATGATACATTGAAATAATCAGAGGAAGAATATTCAACATCTAGTGTTTTTAATATTTTCCCTAGTATTATTAATTAGTATCTCTAATAGTTTATAGCTTTGTTTTCTCTAACACGAATACCCATAACCAAATTATATTTCAACATCTTGGAGAATCAAAAATCAGCACTACAGCTAACCACTGCAAACAGTCATATGATCACAGATAGTAAAGAAGGAGATAATRAAAGTAGGAGGAGGGCAGTATTTTGCCACTTTGACATTGTAATTGTATTCCACATCTTTTTTATATCTGAACCTCCTAATACATTGTAACATTTCTATTTTGTAAGGATTTTAATTTAATAAATACAGATATTTTCATGGTACACCATTCAGATTTAAAGAAACTCTGTTAAATGTAAAACTCTAAAACTTTACACCTACAGTTTGATGTCCATTTTTGCTTCTGACACAAAGCTTTCTTTAATATTTAAGTCATAAGATATTAGAGAAAATTAACAGAAATGATGCACAGATTCTATCTGTATAGTCATGATTTGGTATAGACTGGATGAAGAAAAAACAAGATTCCAGGGAGCCATACAGAGCAGTGCTACAGTAGAAGTAGGAGAAAAGAGATTTATAAAGACAGAAATATAACTAAGCAATATTTTTTAAAATTAGCTTACCTGGCTAGACTAAAGATGGCCACTAATTTTCTACCCAGCTTTTTAGCATTCTTAAAGCCTTCTGAATACAGAATCACTTCTGCAATGAGTTCATTGTCTGGATGGGTCATGGCAACTGGCCTAAAAAGTTGTTTGAGGTTATCAGGTAGTTTTTGTCTTCCTCCATAACCTTTTCCAGCAGGATTCATAGTGATAAAAATCCCAGAATTATGATCCATTTCAACCTAGCATTAGAAGTACATTATAACACTGTATCATAATACAAAACAGTATCAAGAAATATTTGGTAGATGGCTTCAGTAGCCAGTTTTTGAGTTAGTGGATATCCGTTATTCATACAGCAGTTTTAAGAGGAGAAAACAAACATGTTTTGCAGTACCTTTTTGCCGAGCAATTCACATACAGGACTGTGTTTCTTCAAAGCATGCTGAATTGTCTGAATCTGTGTCGATACTGCAGACAGTACAGCTTCCTCAAGTCTATTGAATTCATCAAAACAGCCCCAGGCACCACACTTGACCAAGCCTACAAATATGCGCCCCATTGACTTCACATCAATGCCCTTAAAATTTAAAAAAAAAGTCAAAGTTCAAATACCARTAAAGTAACAATTGCCTTCCTACCTATGAAAAAATATGTCATTGGAAATATCCCCACATTTCTAAGTACCAAAACCTGAAACTGATAAATTATCAAAGTAYGTTCAAACTGTGCTTGCACGCTATTTCCCATACTTTCACTGTTTTATAAATTATACAATGCATATATATACAATGCATATTTATAAATTATACAATGTTCATCTCCTAAATTAATATTCACCTCATCACAGTTAAAGACTAATACTTGTCTTCCAAGAAGTCCACCCAAGGCCTTTACTGATTCTGTCTTTCCAGTTCCAGCTGGACCATAGGGATTTCCTCCAAGACCCATCCTCATAGCTTGAGTTAGAGTTAGGTAACACTTATCTGTCAAAGGTGTATAAACAAGTTTAGGAGAATTACCCTGGAGAAACAAAACAAAAAAAGTAGGGTTGGTTCACAGAAATTGAGATGTAGTTTTATTGATTTCATTTACTATTCATTAATCTGAAAATACATTAGAGTATAATTYTTAAGTTTATTACCTTTTTAAGCACATGAATTTGTTTAAAACTATGAAGCTTTCTTGATTTTATGTTGGCTTCTGCGTATCTATTGTTAAATCATTCTGCATTTTTTAGAATTATGGAAAATGACTTTGAAAAGGGATATCTCAGTTGAAATTGCACTCAAATATGTAAAAGTAGCAAGTTTTCCCTACTGTTTATAAAATATTTAATTATATGATACTGCAGCAGCTACTTTCCATACAAGTCACATTTACCCCATTAATCTCAAGAACAAAAATGATTATCTTATTTTTTACTCTATAAAATAGCATGCTAAGGGCTCAAATTAGAAGAAAAATAGAAGAAAAACAAAAGAACAGTGGGAAGGCAACTAGCAGTGAGMATGAAATAACAAACTATTTAAATATATTTAAAAGTTACCAAGTGAAAAATAAAAATGCCAGACCTGATACTCATAAGTATATTGGAGTTCAGCATCTACCATTTGAATGTAACACTTTTGGTCTTTCATATAGAATCTCAGCTGCTTCTTCCAAGCCCAGTCATCAACACTGTGAACCTGAGCTTGATTTAGCTGCTTGACCACATCAATATTATGAATAATATCAAGAATCAGGGCTTTAAGCTTGAGCTCAAGGATTTCYGATTCTGCAGATAACCACAAAAGAAAAATAACCATGTAATAATGAAAATGCACATAAGGTACTGTCAAGTTCCTTATGCTACTTGCCATTATCAGTTGATTTTATTCAGATCTCATTTCAATAATTTACAGAACAATTGCTATTATTTATAGAACAATCCAAAGCAATCAGCATGAGAACCTGAGAGTTTGAATCATCAAGTATCTTCAGTCTTTTAAAAGACAGAGTCAGCTATTCCAAGTCATTTTGTCTGTCTCTACACTCATCAAAGTAGATTAACAGAGAACAGGCTTTTCCAGAGAGGCATTTTTTTTTCCAGAATTTCATGGCACCAGTGTTCATAGCCATGCCCACTTTAGTGAACMGTGAGGCAAGCTATGAAGTGAGGCCATTGACGCTGACGACCTGGCAGTCACACTCGTTCTGGAGGTTTTACTTCACACTAACTAGGCTGATGCTGTGGACTGGATGATCTTTCACCAACAGATTGCATTACATGTACTCTGACAGCACTTCTTTCTATTTAATTTCATTTGAAAGATGTTTGTGTGCTCTCAGGACTTTTCATCATRTGAATTCAGGCAAGGAGAGTGGGGATAATCAGAAGATTCAGTTGAGAATTGCATCTGTTAATCAAAAATATTACTGTGATTTTATCCTGCATTAGGTGGAAACATGTCCTCTGTAACAGCATTTCTTCAAAATAAATAGAAACAGCATAGAAAAATTAGTTTAGATAAAGCACAAAATTTAGACATAAAGAGATGAATCCTATTCTTAACTGATATCTCAGATGCTAACAGTCTATACCTGCTAAACTAGAATTTAGTAGAATGAGTAGTTATACAAATATAATGGGAAAATTTYCCCCTGCATATCAAGACTGAGTCTTTTTATACTTACAGGCTAAGAATTACCTCATGTAGCCTACATTGTAGAATTTGAAAATCTTCATGAGAAAAAACATATCTACAAAGAAATGAGTTTCTAGTATTTGCTATGGAGGCAATCAAGAATTGCCTAGTTCAGGTGCAGAAAAGAGAGTCACCTGCACAGCTGTACAGAACACTCTGGCATGATATCAYGTACTTCAAATGCTGTCTGGCCAATTCCACTGCAACGTAACACTAACCAAGTAGCATTCAGTAGATGAAGATAAATTACTAGTGTGTGTGTATATATATATACATATATTAAAAAAAGCATTTACTTATGTAGAGAAATATACATATATATGTATGCATTATATATTATACATATGTGTATATGTGTGTATATATATATAAAATATTATTTATATTTTATATATTGTATATATTATATATGTATATATATATATTATGTATATATTATATATGTATATATATATATATGTATATATTATATATATGTATATATATATATTGTATATATTATATTGTATATATAATATTTTATATATATATACACACATATAAAATATGCAACAGTAAGCATACAAACTTACAAAAAAAAAGTGATCTGCAAATATATAAATACTCCAGGATAGTTTTCTACGTAAATATAAAAAAAATACTATTATTCATTCTAGAATACTAACTATACTTGTAAATATTATATAAATAACTTTATGTAGTTGCTTGCTTAAACTAAATGGAATGTTATATATGCTATACTACACGACCATATAGTCATTGTAAGAAATGATATATGAAAGATCATTTTTATACCTGTACTTCCGGTATCTTCTATACTAGTATCTATGCTAGTATAATGTTCCAGTTTAGACATGAGCTCTAATTCTAATTGTTGTAGATTATGCTCTTTGATAGCATTTTCAACATCTTCAGTGAACTGAATTTGCTCTGCCAAAGAAAGAATCTTGGGAAGAGAAAGATTCAAATTACATTTTATACAAAGAGAAGACAAAAGAAAAAAAGCATTTCAATTCATTTAAAATTGCTCATTAAATYTGATTTTTAAAGTACTTAACTGTATTTTTTAAACAAAGACACATTTAATATATTCTCACTGACAAATATAGCCACCTTTTAAAAACTGACAAAGCTTAGCAAAAATTTGAAAGTCCCTTTGCTACATTATTGAGTGTAATGATATCAAATTTTCGAGCATTTTTTTGCTTAGCAACTGCTGCATCAGACCAACACCRATGTGTTTAGGTAAACTGAGGCAATAGGCTCAGTGTATATTTTGCCATGAATCTGCTGACACAGTATTTTGCATTCTAGTTTCTACAATTCAACTAACATTCTAATTACTATATATATTCACTAGAAAAGCATATTGTATGAGCTATGAAGTTGCAATAGAAATGCTGGTAGTTCCAAGTTTTAGAAACCACATTTAATCAAATGTAAAAGCATTTTCTGTCTTACTAAGTTTTAGCAGGCCCACATCTAATTTTCACTACTAACTAAGACCAGCAGAAAGGCATACACCAGATGTAATACAGTTTGGATCAGATGTTGGGCAAAATGTCTGTATTTCAAATGTTTGCATAAGGAAACGGCCGCAAACCGAAGCACCAAAAGTTCCATAAGAACTTAAGGAAAATTTTCTTGAAGGTTAAGGGTGACAGAGCACTGGAACAGTTTGCCCAGAGAGGTTGTGGAGTCTCCTCTGGAGATTTTCCAAATTCAGCTGGATGCAGCCCTGTGCCACATGCTCTCGGTAACCCTACGTGTGCGGAGAGGTTGGACTAGATGATCTCTAAAGGTCCCTTCGAACCTTAAGGATTCTATGATTATTTTGTTCCATATCCATACATATATTTATCATAGAATTGCCAAATGGCTGAGGTTGGAAGGACTCCATGGAGCTCACACTCAAAAAGGGCCACTCAGAGTGCTTTTCCCAGCCCCACATTCAAACACCTTTTGATATTTCCAAGGAAGGAGATTCCAAAATCTCTCTAGATAAGCTTTTGCAGTGCTCTGCCATCCTCACAGTAAAGATGATCTTCATGTTCAGAATAAACTTCCTGTGCTTCAATTTGTGCCCTATTGTCTCTCATCCTATCGCTGGGCACAACTTTAGAGTCTGGGCTCATCTTCTTTACACACTTAATCCTTTCCGATACCTATACACTGATGAGATCCACTCTCCGTCTTCTACAGTTTGAGTAGGTCTGGCTTTCTCAAGTCTTTCCTCATATTACACATGCTCCAGTTCCTTAACTATCTTAGCAGCCCTTCATTACACTCACTCCAGTAGCTGCATGTCTGTCTAGGACTGAAGAGTCCAGAACCTGAAGTGCCTACCCAAATTTTTAGAAGTCTTCAAAAATTAGCTTTTTTGGTTAATCTAAGATGACACAGTAAAGATACTGGATCATCTACTACCTGAGAAGGATAGAGAGATGGATCAATTGAGCCTTGTGATTTTTTTCCAGCAGTAATACAATCAAGTAACAATTTTTTCAGGGTCTCCTTCATCTCCAAAGCCAAACTGCTTAGCCACACCTAGCAAAAACATTAAAAAAAAAATCAAAAGTTACATTAAAATTTAATTCTCGAAGATTCTTGAACAATCTTTGGATGYGATTTTCTTACCTCCACATCATTTGACAGAAGAATTTTGTTTTTAAGTAGCACAGTTTCTCCTTCTACTGACTTCATGGCAATTATGTATTTAAATTCTTCATCAAAACTCACACTATTAATACCTATTCATCAAAAAATGACAGTGAAGTTTTTTCTTGTTGTTAAACTCTTAAATGATGTATGGTAGCAGTAAGGAAGGAAAAAAAAACTATAGAAGATTGCTTTGAAGAAAATTATTTCTAAGTAAGTATATTTTGCAAAGAAGTTAAGTTGCATTACCAGCAAAAAGTTTCTTAAGGTGAGACTGGATGACCATCGGATTCATGGACTGTCCTAAGATTTCTAATAAATCATCATCTCCAATGAAATAGAATCTAGGGAATGCTGAGCGTTTTTCCTGTACAAACCAAAGATATCACTTTAAATCTATCAATTTAAATTSAAATGTAGTTATTTTTATAGAAATCCAGATTAATGTCAGTTGTACCTCCAAAAATTCATTCAAAGATCTCTGACATCTCTGAAGCTGGTCAAGTATCGTAATTAAGGCATTTCTTAATCCTGTCCGGGCATTCAGTGATGTTATCCTATTATCCCTCTTGATATCAGACATAATTGATCTTAATTGGAAAAAAAAAAAAAAAAAAAAAAAGGGAATAGTGTATAAATCTATCATTGCTGTTTTAGTCTGGATATTATATATGCAATTATCTAAACAAAATTAAAGCACAGACAAGTCATAAACATATTTTTCATATTCAAGTTTTGAATTTTTAGTACCTATGTTGAAACTTTTCAAAATTTATATCGAACTATGTCCAATAATGACTCTTTCTTGCTACCTCTATGCAAAAACAAGAAAAATGAATTCTTGACATTTATTCCCTTTCAACAAGTCAATTTAACTCATATCAAGACAGGCAATAGTATACATATTTCTACAACTCCAGAATCTCCTCTCTCTTATCTGCATGGTTTGTTTTGAACAAACAAATTTAAAATTCCAGATATGTAATTTCTTAAGAAAATGAGCATTGGTCCTGACCAAGAAGTGATTACTGAAAAACAATTACATAACTTCTGTTAAAAAAACACATCTTCTGTCTGCCTTGTTCATAATCTCCGATGTTTCATGTGATTCAGAATATTCCCTTCTTCACAATACATGAAATCTACCCATTATGTGAAATCTACCCATATCTTTCATGTTCAGAAAACTACCTTTCACACCTATGTCACTATTACACTCATCTATGTTTACTGAATTCCTCTTACATTTACTTTACTTTACTGACTTCATACATATTACAATTTTGTACAATTACAATACATAAGTACAACTATACTAGTTCACTATGAAAAGCATTTTGACCTACAAGTATGTGAAAAGCATTATAAAAAAATAAGTAATATTCCACACTAACCTAAAGTCGTCATCAACTCTGTTAAAGCGAGCCTGCTCTTTGGGTAGAGCTCCACGACCAAATATAGGCTCCAAATAGACCCATTTTCTTTGAATTTGGTTTAAATTCTGCAAATATTCGTCCAGCTCAGCCAATTTTTTTTCCCAGATGGACACTTTATCTTCAAAACCTTTGTAGTAAGGGGAGTCCTTGAGGGACTGTAGAAGGCAACGATGATCTCCAACCTGATTGACTATGTCTTTCCAGTCTTTAATAAGCCTGATAGTCTTGCTTTGGCTGTCTTCATAATCTGTTAATGTAAAGATAGCTCCAGCTCCCCAGAGTTCAAGCTCACGTAATGCTTCTCTGATTGTGACTTCACCTTGTGCCCGACAATTCAAATCCTATGAAATTATAAATATATTTCATTCTAAATTATAGACCTTACAATAAATTTTCCATTCTTCTAAAATAAATATAAATATGTGCACAAAAATATAATACGGAAAAGCATGATCGAATTTACCAAAAGAATATATAACATATAAAATAAAAATACAGCAACCTTACTGGCATAACTCAGTAATTCATACCTTAAGTTCTGTTGCTTTTTCTATAATGGCATCAGTGACTTTGAGCAAATCTCCAAATAACAAACCCTCAAGTGTAGTGCCTCGGGGAAAACCCAGAATACGAAAAAGATCCAGCCAATGGTCTGGTGAAAGATGTTCTCCTCTGACATATTTTAGGAGAGGAATTACCATCTATRGGAAAAAAAAAGAACTGTATCAAGTGAATCTTTATATCTATTGATACAGTTACCTGTAATCAAAAATTTAAAAAAAAACAAAAAAAAACATTTATAAACCAAAGTACATTTTTTCATTTCCTTAATGTTTAACATTTCATTCTGAAGAAAACTCATTGACAAAATGTCCATTAAAATTGTAATGATCCTTTTGTCCACTGTAAGGAACAAAAGGACTCTTCAAAAGACAAATGCAATGTTCACAACAGTATCAAAAGATATTTTATTAAACTTTAAGTAGCTTTATGAACAAAGCCATGTATAAATTTACATAATAAAGAATAATACTCCAAAATGCCAAAAATTCTTTTGATCTTATATCCCTTTTTAGAATGAGAAACTTACTTTGTATTTGTCTACTTCTTTTTGTAACTTCACTGTCATTACAGTATGTTCTTCTATCTTCCTCATTTTGTCATGCCAGTTAAACAAAAACTCTTCAAAGAGATATGTTTTACTCCTTCATGAAAATCAAAAAAGGAAAATATAAACATAAATATGATAAAATCATAATAGAACTATAGTTACATGCATATGTGATGAAAAGATCATTAGAAATCAATACTATAATCATATGTACATGCTCATGAGAGAAAAAGAAAGAAACTGCACCTAAAAGTAATCCAATCTTCTTTGGCTTTTTCCTGAAAACCTTGAAAAAATTCTTCATACAATGCCCAAATTTCTGCACAACTCTTAATATCCTGATATACACCTGTTGACAAAGAGAAGTCTGGTACTTCCAGTTTAAAATGATGGCATTCTTCACTGAAAAAAAAAGATAATTGCATGATAAATTAAGATCTAATCACATTTATGATCTAAGAGACACTGGTGTATGGAAATAAATATACTCATTTAAGTAAAGTCATTGGCTTCACTGAGAAACACTGCTGCCAACTGAAATTGGCAGAAATATTACAGAAATACAAAGGACAACTGTCCTACACAGTGGCACCTGTGGGTCTGGGCACCTGGAGGAAAAACCCTTCCTGCTTGCAAAATAGTCTGTTGCATAAGACACTTACTCAAGAAATAGGAAAACGAGCCTACTTCAGTTGGTCCACTCAACTGAAATCATAATTCCCCATTCTTGGACCAATATCTTGAACCTTTTCTTAAAGTGAGAATTTCAGATATCAAAATCAAGCCTTTAGCATATGTATCCCTATTTCACAGCCCAAGAGACTTCCAAAATTTTCTATTCCATAAAACTCAAAAATTCAAAAATGTTATGCTATGTAACATGAGGAAAACAAAATCTTAAAGAACAATGAAATGTTTGTAATATAAAGGAAATGGAAATCATTAAACTATTGGATTTAAAATTCAATCAACTTTTTTTCTGAGATATTATTACTGTAGAAGATCTGCACTTTTTTTTATAAGCAGTACATAGATGRAAACAAACATACATGAGTTTCTCCTTCGTGATTTCAAGTTCATCAAATTCTTTTTTCTTTTCCTTTATGGTTTGAGCACTTTTCTCAAGCACATCCCGATCACCTGTTTCAATGACATCATCRCTTGGCTTTAGCTGTTCCCAACGAGCTTTAAACTTCTCTAGATTTTGGAGATATATATTAATACGTGACATCACATTTCCTTTCATCATTTCAATCTGTAAAGTAAGAGATAGAAGAGCATTCTTTTCTAACTTTTAGTTTGTAACTACAATTAGTAAACAATGAAAACAAAGTAACCACTTTCTTTCCAATTCTTGTACAATACTCGTAAAGCTAGAAATAGCCCATCTGTACTCTTCTGTGGTTTAGAAAGAAGTGGCAATCATTTAAAAGTTCAAGTATTCTTCCTTTTAAAGCTCTATCTCATGTCCTTAATGTTGCTCTTAATACTGAACTGAGAACATTCATGGATTTTATTTGATCCAGGAAAAACGTTTCTCCAGGCTTACTCCAACTTATGTATCAAAACACGTAAAATATTAATCTGTCATTGTTACCTGCTCTGTAATCATAAGCTGATGGCTTTCCATCATTAATTCAAATTTATCCCAGGTAGCTCTTAGGTTACTGATAGAGTCCAAACCTGTACCAGCCACAGTCCGCAGGAGTTTATTTTTATCTTCAGCCTCTTGAAACAAGGTAAAAATCTAAATTGAAAAAGATAAAAAAAATGCATAATTATAATAATTGTATAATTAAAAAATAATAAAGTCCTGTTTACCAGAACTACTTAAATAAATTCATAAGAATCATCAACTATTCCTCTTGTAGCCGCTTTTTTTTTAATTTTGTTTGCCTACTAACAGYAAAACATTGTAAGAAATAATATCCAAGATAATTCAGAGAAATTCTAAATTTTAATCCTGAAATAAAATATACAGAAATGAAAGCTTACTATGAATTAAGCAAATTCTTATATATTGCAGAATTCCAGACAGCCAGGTCTAGAAGCCACATAAGAACAACAGAAAGTCTGTTATCCATACACCTATACCTGGAATCACAGAAAGCAGGAGCAGAGGCACTTCAAGTAAGTAATATATATGAATATATACGAGCAAGAATTTGTTATTCAAAACATTAAACTATCCACCTGCAAAAAGCTGCAGAAAGAAATTAAAGAAGTGACCTAGAAGAGCAAGTGAAATTCAGGCAGATAAGCATGACATGAAGCATATGTGAAAAAATAATCCCAACTTTACATGTAAAATGTTGAATTCTGAACTAACAATTGCATTTCAGGATTGATATCTTTGTGGTACAGTAGCAAGATTTATTTAATCTGAGTAGTAGGAGGAAAAGACATTTCAGGAATTATTATGGAAGGAAATAAAGAAGAAAAAAGTTAACACTGTTATGTCACCATATAAATGAATGGCTTATCCACATCTTAAAAAGCAGACAAAGTAATGCCCCCCCCACACAAAAGGAATTACTGAAAATTAGAAAAGACCTGCCAAAGGACAACAARGATGATCAAAGCTATGGGTAGGCTGATGTATAAGAAGATGACTAATGTAGGATATAACAGAGAACAATACAATCATCTGTGTCTTGAAAAGGAAGGAAATATAGGAATAATTGTTCCATACCTCTTCTGACATAAGAGAGATGGGAGATAGTAAGTGTGGGGGGGGGGAGGGGAAGAAAAAGGAAGAAAAATACATGAAATACAATTCATGTATTGAGTTACTGATCGAAAGGATATTCTGGATCTTACATATATATGTGCTTTCAAAAGCAGAATAGATAAGCCTTGTGGGAGATAAACACACTTGAGGGTTRTTATAAATACAGAAACCATATACAGCTCAAAATAGTTCTGAGATGAAAATAGATGGAAGCTAGAAGAGTGCTATGGGCATGGATCATATATGCTACTCTGACTGCATAATCTCTCCTAGGTAGTCACTTGGAGGAGAAATATTACGCTACATGGGCCAGCAGCCTAATAGCTATCCTATGTTCTAAAAGAATGATACTAAATATAATTTTCCATACTAGAAAACAAAAACATTTTTGAAAGTTGTTCCTCTGGATATGATAAAATAGCACCTTACCTCTTGTTTTCCTTCAAGGAGGTGTGTATATTTTAAATTGTCTTCTTGTATTTCTTCCATAGTTTGGGGCCTAACTACTAATGTTTCCATGGCATCAGTAAGAAATGAAGAAATATCATGCAGGTGTGCTTTGTAAAAAAAACAGGAAAACAAAATATTGGGGAGGAAATATTTATAGTAATACATTTCAAAGTAAGATAAATGTACTGTGATATAATGCTGTCATAAAACATGGTGTTATACAAGAGATATTTGCTTAAAAAATGAAGATGCTATTTTTTTAATGCTGCTTAAATGTAGATTGTATGTGTGGATTTAAGCATCAAAATTTAAATGTAACCTACTGCTTTCAGTTTATGAAAGTACTAATGTCACTTCTAAGGGTCACACATTAAGTACTGAAGTACTATGCTTTCAAAATCGTTGTAAGTCAGCTTCAGGTAAGTAGAGAAAAAAATAGATACTAAACCTTAAAAAACAAACAAACATACAAAGTCACTTTCAGTAGTGAAAAAAAAAAATCACAAGCAAAAGCTTGAATAGTTTTATCAAGCTTTATAATACTACATTTTCCTAACAAGGCAGATCTCCCTTTTCCATACAGTATTGGGCAAAAAAATGTACAATTTGAAAGAATAATTCACTTCCCAGGCTTTGGAAATAATCCACTTTCTGCATAACTCCTGTACTGAGTTTGCTGTGACTGGGACTGGAAAAGTTAAAGAACAAAGCTTTGCCCTTACCATTCCCTTCTCTGTCTCCATGCAGACAGAGAGCAACCAGGAATGGAGAAATATTTTACCTTTCTTTAATGTTCTGCCTATTGAAAACCTAAGTCACAAGTAAATCTATGGAATAAGTCTGCAAAAATCCTAGTAAAGTATTTCAATTTATAATAAAAAAAGGCTAATGCCTTTTAACTGCAACATTTAATTATCTTGTTCAATTACCCTCAAATGTTTAAGAAAAGAAACAAGTAAAGGAATGTTCATGTTTATTCTATTATTTCTGCAATAAATATGGCCAAAATAAGTGATGTGCATGGATATCAGAAGTGCTTAGGCCAGCTAAAAGCTAGCATCATCAGATTACTTTCTTTCCACGATGATTTTTATAATTCACTACTTCAAAGGGTAAAATTTTTGATAAAAAACAGTTTAAAAAATACATTGACATAAACGTCCACAAATACAACAACAGCAAAAGAATGCTATCCATGAAAATGATTTACCTTGTATAGATTTTCTCAAAGAAATGACAAGAACATCATACAACTTCTGGATAAAATCATCAATTACAGTTTTCACAGGATTGCAGTTAACTATTAAACAATCAATCTTGACGGTGCTTCAAGACAAAACAAAAAACAAGAGAAATATATCTATGAATGCACATATATCTATAATGTTGTATATGTGCAATATACATCTCACTATCTCTAAAATCTATACATGCACACACTCTCAGAATACCTCTAATAAAGTCATCACAACTTTGTAGCCTAGTAAAAAAATCTTGCCCTTATAAATCTACAAATAAGAATATTAGTTCACTAAGCAAATAATTGGGTTATCCAATTCAAAGATTTACAATACAGATGCAATTTTACAGGGAGTCTCAGGTTCTGATCCTCCAATACTTAGAAAGCTGCTTATTTTTGTATGGAACATAGACCACTCAATCTTTCCTTGAACTTAATTTAGCCAACAAGTTCCACAGGTTTTTTTCTTCTGCATGAAATAATATTTCTTTTTACTGATTCTGAACATGAATCCCACCAATTTCACTTGATAACTGTAATTGGGCAATACATTGAATTCCTTCATAAATGTAAAGACCTGCGATGTTGGGGTTAGTATTTTGTTTAAAATATTTAATAGAATTCATTATTCAAACATACAAATAGAGTTAATACTACACCTTGGAAGACGTTCTGCCTCTTTCCCTCTCACTTTTAAAGCCTTGAAGTTTTTTTCCCAGTCCTGTTTGCTAGAAAGATGTTTCTTCACCAGAGTTTCCACATCTACTTGACCAATTACAATCCATTCCTTTTCAGCATTATTTTTGATTTTATGGAAAATAAATATTTGACAGATTAAAAAGAACTGCTTCTCAAAAACATTAAAATGCTTTTAATAACGATCTCAAGCTACATTCACTAGAATTTGTTAATTCAATGACCTACAGATTCTATTAATGCAAAAATCAGGAAGTGCAGAACAGTCTTACATAACTCTACTTTTAAGGATGATCAAAACAAACTTTGAACAAGGATGAAAAATCATCTAGAATATTGAGGTTTAAGTATAAACTGTTCATATGCTTCAGCCTAGACTTCTGCTTAAGTCCTTGTATTAATATGGATTTATTAAGATTACGTGCCTTGAAGAATAACACTACAAGGCTCAAATGTCATTGCTCAGTTACTCATTAATGTTTCAAACAGAAAASAATTTCTATCTGAAAGAAAAGCTATGAGTAAATCAGATATCAAAAATACCTTAAATTGATGAGAAACTTCAGCCAACCTTCTGAATAAATCTTCTGCTTTACTGAAAGCAGTCAGAAATCCATTGGCATTTCTTTCAGTCATAACAGTGAAGATGGATTCCTCGTCTGTCTCACTCACTCCCCTAAACTGGTTTGGAATGGAGATGAATCTCTTCATTTCTCTGTAATATCTGGCTCGTACTTCTTCAAAAGGAGGTCTGAACTGCAACCGGCCTTGTCTAAAAAGTGAAACAAATCATGCAAAACTAGTATTTGAATGCAATTTGAGCCATAAAACTTTCACAGGAAGAAAATATCTTACTTGAATGTTAGATCAATATTTATTTCTGGTAAATTTTCATTGAGTGCTTCCAAGCCCATTTGATATTGATGCTCCAGAGCTTTGTAAAGTTGATGATTCCAATGGTGTCTCCAAGCTTTCATCTCCCGTGAGCTGAAACCCTAAAAATAATGATTATTTAATGATTATTTTTCCCTTCAAAGCAGAATTATGTCAAACTGAGTGCAGTACAATGCCTCAGGTCTCAGTTTTTAGTAATATTCAAAGAAGAACTGCATAAATTTAAATATTAAAAAGATCTGGGGTTACTATATTATACCAAATGAAATTTTAAAAAATAGGAATCAAGAGTTGCAGCAAAATATGGATAGAATTAAAATGTGATTAACTTCAGTAGATACAAATTTTATAAGGAAAATATCTGACTAGAAAATAATAATTACAATAATCCTGGTTTGCATTAGAAGAGCCAAAGATTATAAAACACACATGGTCAGTTTCTATCACCTAATAAATACAAAATAACTCATGAATGAAAATTTATCAATGATAATAAATTTGAGCCATAAATCTTGACAACTATTGAAAGTCAAATTTTCTATATGCAGCATGATAATTAAATCCTACCTGTGACTCGAGGCTGGCAAAACCAGTTCTGATCTCCTGCACTCCTTCTTTCCAACGTTGCTGTTGCCTCAGTAAATCAATATTCATGAGAGCTATAACCTAAAATGTTAAAAGATAATATATTCATCTCCACATAAATGAAAGTAAAGGTAAACTAAGTCATACAAAACACTATTTCAATTTCACCTGGAAAACATACCTTTTCAATGAAGTTTGTGTGCCACTTTCTTAGCTTTCTGTTTTCAGTAGAAAGTCGTTCAGCAGCAGCTTGGAGCTTTTGAATATAAGCTTCCAGTTCCCTAGGATTATCCCATGTTATTTGAGCTTTTCCTCCAGGACCAGTTTTTGAATGCTGGAAAAAGGATATGAGCTTTATAAGGTTTAATGACAAATACAGGACTAGGTTACCAGCTGGAGCRCATGGCTGTATGTGGCAACATCTAAAAGATCTTTCTACCACGTAGTGAAAAACAGAAATCAAGCTACTTCCCTATCTTACTAAAGAAGGAATAAAGTGGCAGATCATGGACACCTTAACATAAATTTAATCATACACACTCAGAAAGGATTAATGTCAGACTATTCACCAGAGTTGGAAATAAATCCACTTAGGGTGTGACCACTGCCTCTATAAACACAGATACCAGATACTTTAAATTGCAGAGGCATCTCAAACTCCCTTCCTCCCCTCTCTTCTACATAGACCAAAGAACAAATTAGCACCCTAATAACTGCTTATCTAACCCCACATATTTTTTCATGGAATACATTTTTAAAATTACTTTGTAAAACTTCACTGATTCATTAACAAAATACAACATCAGAGAATTTCATTTTTTTTTCATTTCTTTTCTTTTTTTCCAGACAAAGTTCTGGAACCACCAATTTCAAAATAAATGCCAATAAAACAGATGCATTTGCTTGTGTTGGAATATTGAAGCAAAAAAGTTCAGCAATAAACACAAAAACAAGCATAAAATACACACATATATCACTGAGTTTCAAAATAGCAGACAGGGATTCTTTCACCTTAATTATCTGTTCGAATGCTAGAGCAGACTGCAACATCATTGGCTTCTGACTCTCAATCATTTGTTGATCAACAGAATTATAAAAATGTGCCACCTATAAAATGAAGAGATGATTGTTTGAAGTTGGAATTTATCAAGCATACGGTGAAAGAGGAAATATAATAATCCAAGATATTAATGAAACACAGATATCAAAACAGAACATTTTTATGGCTTTTAGTGTTATACCTGCTTGAGGATGACTGCTTGCTTACAGAACTTCTGTGCAGTGTTTGAAACATATTGTATTTTAGATGGAATAGAAAAACCAAGTGCTGACAGTTGACGTACTTCTCTTAGGAGAGTCACTAAATGATCTGAGTAAAGTACATTTAATGTTCCAGAATTGTGATCCAGCTCCATGATAGGACTATTAGCTTGTATGCTAAACCAAAATTAGATTAGACACAGTATTAAATACAACTTGATATTGGTCCCTTTCTGGATGCATTTTATATTAAAACAATACAGAATTCTAAAAAGCTTGATGCATTTCAGTGTTCTATGTTCATTAACATCCTAAATTATTCAGATATTATTCTAGTAATCTTTCTCTTACATTACAACCAATGATTACAAGAAGAAACGGGCAATGCTTACTGATTTTGCTCAGAATGTTTTACAGACCTGTTACTAACAGTTAATATTTAATTAACAGCTAGGCAGTATCTTTTAAAAAAAGCAAATGTAACTCTCAGAAAGGCAGACAGAAGCTATGCAGTCAGTCTAATCAAAAATGTAAAGTAAAATTTTAAAATACATATTTTTACCTACCCTAAAGTAATCTCATTATTTGGGAGAAAGTAATTCATGAGGTTTTAATCATTTTTCTTACCCTTCCTTTACCAACTGTGTTTACAACAGTTTCTTATGGATAGCAATTATTGGTTACTCTACAGACACCATCTGTATTTCACAACTGTACTCCAAGATCATTTGGCTTCTAGACACTGTCACAATATGAGTAACTATAACGAGACACGTATTTCATTCCATGTTTCAATGGGAACTTAACCCTGTCTTGTATATTTTCCCCTACTAATTAAGGCTGGCAGGATCCACAGTTATGAAATGATAACAAATTCTTATATTTTAGTTCCCTTCTCATTCTCAGTTCTGTAGTTTCATGCTTCTTTTATCAAATTCTAATAAATTCCACTGTATTACAGATGTCAACATAATCTTTATCTAAATAAAAATGTATTTACCATAGTCCTGATTTGGGATTTGATAACTCTGACTGGATATTTCTAGACCACTCATGAAATTGCTCTTGTTCATATACTTTAAAGTGTTCCAAAAGAGAATCTGCACTTTGATGAAAAGTTTGAAATCCAGACAAATCACACAGCAGAGCCTCTGCAAGTTGGATAGCATCTTCCACCTTAAACACAATCATAGAAGAAGGAAACATAACTTCGTAATTTTCAATTAAAAGAAAAATCAACACAATAAATATTAATGGTTATAAAATATCCAAGCAGGGTTCAAAAAGGAGATTAACAAAAAGTGAACTCTAAATTGTGCCATGTATGCTCAAATTCCCTTTTCGGTAAATTGAGATACGGTTGGAATGAGTTGACCACCTCACCTATCTACCATTATTTAGATTCCCAAGCAAATGCCATCTGCTCTTTAGGTGYTTCTTCAGAAGATGTTCCATGAGATCTGTGTTGCATTTACAAGGTCCATGTCAATGTCTTGAATACTCTAAAGGTATTTAAATGGGATTTGAGACCTACTTTTGGACAAATAATTCAAGGACTTAGTCAATACAGTCAGTGGAGAGCAACTCAGAAATTCAGCTCACCCAAAAGTAGATACTCAGTCATTTGTCAGCTGAACTGTTCTCAAGGTCTTTAGCAGACCAAGCAAAAGAAATAATTGTGAAGTTCAAGCTGCTGCTCTGTGGGGAACAATATTAAAAAAAAAAAAAATCCTCAAGATCCATACCCTTTGTCACATTCAACTGAAATGGGCTCTCAAGTTTTCTGCAAATCACAGGTGACTGTTATAAAAGCTTGAGTAATGGTTATTCTGGGATGGATAAATTCTCACTCAAGTCTATATATACTAAGTATATACGACTTAAAATAGAGTCAATTATACCTTAAAACAATTCCATTGTGAGGTAACATTTGCCAAGAAAAATTAAGTCAAAAGAGCAGGCTGTTCAATGTGCAATGCAAACATAATATTCTGGGTCACTTAAAAACTACTTAGTAAACAGCCCCACTAATAAGGAATGCTCAATAYATAACTCTTGAAAATTTCTTACAAACATGATTCTTTCTAAAATCTTACATATCATGTTTTATTCACATGATAATATTCTCTCTAAAATGCAGAGAAATTTGTTACCTTCATCTCCAGTTGTCGTACCCATACGATATTATTGACARCTTCTGAAAGGTTTTTGCCTGAAAGCGGTCCAGAAACATCACCAGGRGCACCATGGCATCGTGTTTCAAAATCTATCCGATAGGCTAACAGAAGCAAATGATTCATATTAGACTAACAACCTAACAGAACAAGCTTAAATTAATTATTATTGCTATAAAAGGTATTAGAGATATTCATATTAATTTAAAAGTAAATAAACAGTTATAGTATTTGCAAAAAAAAAAAAAAAAAATACACAGGAAGACTTATACATTTTACCCTTGACAGAATCATGAAGTCTTGCCAGCAAAGTTTCCCTTTCAAAGAGCAAATCTTTGCTAATGTTTGGACGCTTTATCAGTTCCTTGTATTTCTGAAATGTTTGAAGAAGCTGGAATATGGAATTAAAAAGAAAAGCTATTTCTTCTAAAAAAAAATAAGCATATTCCAATACAATTCATTAGCATTGTCCTAAATACTGTCTTTTGCCATAGRTACTCATTTGTTGTAAACAGATTACTTAAAAATTCAGTATCTTGGTCTAGAGGAAAGATTTCAGACTATAAAGGTATCCATACCTGTTGGGGACTATCTTGAATTTCTGAAATTTTTTTTTTCAATTTGCTTGCTATTTGCTGTTCTGCTGGTGCAATAATTCTTTCATATTGCAAGACTGCAGCTTTCCATAATGGCTAGAGATAAGAAGTAAATATTTTAAGAAAGCTCATATACATAAAGAGTGACAGAAAGAATAYAAAAATAGCATTATACCTCTGTGTAAGGATTATAGTGTACAGGATTTAATCCAGCAAAAGGCTCAAACACCTGGGCAACATGTAGAGTATTTTGTTCTCCAGTTGACAAAAAGAATGAAAGTTTCTCGTGCACTGTTCTAATAGTGAGAACCTATAACGGAAGAAAATACTTGGTGTGTTCAAAGCATCTGTACATAAAAGAAAGCAGAAACTCTAAGCAGCTCATATCATCCTTTTCCTTTGCACAAGAAACTTCCAAAATGCATTGTGGAATATTATGTTAATCGATAATATTTTTTATTTGTTCTGCTTTTTTTAAGCTCAAAACAATGCTATTTAATTCTCTTTCTAAAAAAATAAATGTGAACAAATTCAATCTTTACCTCATCAAGACGTTTGCCAAGTTTGGCTAACAATTCAGGGAAATATTTCTCATYTTTCCAGGGATGTAGTGTGTAACATTGCCATAGTTGTCCAGTCAAGTATGCACAAGCTGATACCCACTGTTCACAGATCAAGATGCCAGCTTTCAGATTTTCTTTAACAACGTGAAAAGTATCCTCCCATAGATTCAAAGCTGCCAATTTTCTCTGAACAAACCTACCTAAACAGCCACCTAGAATTCCAAAAAGCAAACAAAAGCAGTACGCTGTTTGTTCAAAATAATTATTTTAAACTTCATGCAATATTCCAATCCAACTCACATCCATCAACTAGTGTAATTTCCTAAAAACACATAAAAATGTATATACTGCTGATCAGTCATTTTCAGATTCAATAAAGACTCTATCAGATTCTTCAAAATTTTCAGTTTAAACAGTTCCAGCATCAGAAGCTGACAGAGTAGGATTATGGAATTCACATACCTRTCTCCCTACCAGCACCTGGTTACCCACAGCCATCAGGACACAGGGCTACCCCCTTGCAGACAAACTCTCTGCCTTACACAGGTCCCAGAACGTGAGACTGCAGCCATGAAAACAGGAGAAGCAACCTCTCTTCATCTTGTACTTTCACCTCCATACAAGTTCTATCAACTTTCTAGCAGTGTTTTTATGCAGACTATTCCTGGCCTTCTCCGAGAAGGAATCAAACAGAAGCAGCCAAATTTGGTCCACAGATTGAAATCAATACAACTGTATCATTCACCATCTCCTCAAGGGCATATGAAAGTGTCCATCAAAGCTGTCTGAGTTACCACAAGGCAAATAATACTCCTGCAAATAATTACAACAAGCAAGCACAATAAACCTGTAGGTTTTGAATGGTACCTTCAGATGAGAGAGGGTCCCTGCTCCAAGCATTGTGTCCTCCTTCTAAAATAATTATTTAATACAGAGTTCATAAAGACTTACCTATGACATCCAAGAGATTATGCATGCGTAGCTGTGGATAAGGATCATGTTCTGTTTGTCGCCACACACCATCAAGAGYATCTCTGGTAGTCTCCACTAAATCCATAACTTCAAATAACGAGAGACTATCCAAGTTGTAGTAATCCTATAAAAAATATTGTTGATAAGTTTGATTTGATACTACTATATTGAACTGTTCATATTTTTCTGAAAATAACAACTGATGCAGTTATATATCAGTTATCACTATAGTTCCCACTGAAAGAAATACTATTTCTTTCTTGCTCAATGGAATAACACAGCACCCTGTCAAAAAACACAAGGCATCCATGTAATTTTACTCACATCAAAGATATATTGGTGTTCTTTGAGCCCCCACAAGTGCCTAAAAATTTGCAAGACAGATTCCTTTACAACCATATGTACTTTCAATTTTTCTTTACATAATTTCATGAGTCAATTTTTAGCTCACAAGCTGTAGTGCTTCTGAAACAGCTATTAGGATTTAAGGGTCAAATCCACTCCCAATTAAATTTTGCCAAACCTTGCAATGTTGTCACTAGCAATTACTTGACGTAGTTTAAAGTAAAATTTCTATTTAGTTATGTATTATAGTATCTAATTATGTATTCTTGTAGTCATGTCTTTGAACAGAGTGTAATTCATGTACATTTCACAAAGAGCTTGGTTGCTTTTATTAAGTCTACAAATACACTACTGATTTATATAAAAGAAAAACATACTTTTTCAATGCCCTCAAATAGTTTTTTAAAGTGAGAAGCTCTCTCTTTACTAGAAAATTTACTCCCATGACGAGCACATTCTGTCCAGAACTGAAATTCATCTGTTGGTGTAAGTATAGCTGCAAATAAAAATGGAAAATATAAATGAATGGTCATGAAATATTCTCAACTAGAATATATTTTGAAAAGAAATGTTTACTATATTGATATACAAATACCCTTAAGCTTTTCACTCTGACAATAYGTAGTAACACATTCATGCTAAGAAATAAGGGGCTGATGATCATCAATTTCAAAGCATACTCAGCATACTTTGCATTCTTCAATCACAGGGATCACAGACACAGAAAATTGAGCATATAAATCAGCATGTTTTGCAATATGAATATGTTTTAAAATTTATTGCAAAAGATATAAATGCGAAACAAACCTTGCACATCATCTTCACTGAACTTTGCCCCTGTGTAATTAGGGTCTGATCTTCTGAGAACAGTACTTAAACCAGCCTCAAGTTCCCTTAAAAGTTTCTGGAGTTTGGGATCAAATGCTTCACTCCATCTATCATCCTGCAATGAAATTTTTAAAAATGTGTGAACTATATGATGGAACCATTATTTACATATTTTAAATAAAAAAAAAAAAAAAAAAAAAAAAAAAAAAAGTGATCTTTTACTCACATGCTGGGACAACAAAAAGTCAAGGAAAAGCACTTTGCCTTACTCACACCATTCCTTTCACAATAACACCATGAGATTTTTATATATAGACATAGATATAGATAGATATGTACATTTATACATATCATTTATACATATATATATACTTCCAATATATATGCACCTACTGGAAATTCAAAAATTAATTATGGATTAATAAAAGAGTGTTCAGAAATCATATAGTTTATGTCCCTTTAAAACTATGAACATTTAAACCAGAATATTGCTCACTCACCTTCAGTAATACAGGTGCAAAAACTTGTCGTACAGCTTGATAAAGGGTATTAATAGGTGAATCTAACATAGATGACACTAGAATATTACTGTGAAGATTATCTTCTGTAATTACATCAGGTCGCAGCTTAAAAAATACTAACACATTATTCTTTGAATCAGCAGTGTCAATCTGCAAAGATTGAGAAAACGGAATTTTATTTTAGAAAACTCAAGATTGATGCATATTAGATTAGATTAAGTATACGGCTTACAATGCTTACAAATGACTTACAATAACAAAAAAAAAAGTATAAAACACCATGTTATCCCCTATGGTTGGTAATAATATTCTTGTAGCATTTGAATTTCACAGAAAATAGCTTTTATTAATTCTTGAGTATCTACTCAAGTAAGGAATCTTAAATGTATATTACAACAGCAAATACTTTTTTCCTTATAAAATATCTTTAAAATGCCTTTTTCCTTATAAAATTATATTATATAATATATAATAATTATATAAATTATTATAAAATATGCCTTTTTCCTTATAAAATATCCATGAATGTCTTATTTATGACACATGGAATTTGAAAACTCTATTTGTCCCTTTTAGGGGCAAGCTGGAAACTTTCTCCTGTATCTAGAGAAGGCTAAAAAGAAAAAGAAGATTTTTTCTTTTTACTAGATTTTTATGGTGTACAATTTTGGAAATGCCTTTCCAAATTTTCAGTGTTGTCCTCCTGACTCTAGAGCCACATAGCCCTATTGCTATTCACGGATGGCTTAAGCAAAGATATACTTCTTCATGAGTAACACCATCAGTGATTCATACCACCTCACAGTTCAACTTCAGAGTAAAGCTACAAAAGCAGCCACAACAAAAGCAAATATTGAAGCTCTTAGTGGCTGAGAAGAAAAACCTAAAACAATAGAAAACCTAAAACAGAAAACATAAAACAGCAGAAAACATAAAACAACCAAACAGTGACAGACAGATGCGCTAGCTGAAATCCTAAACTGTGCTGTTTATAAAGACTCCTTGAACACAGAGAGGTTTCATCTTAAAAGAAAACAASAGGCCCGTGAAGCACAACCGCCAGTTTGCCGCGCGCTCCGGGGACTCTGCGGGTCTGCCTCTACCCAACGCCACGCGCTACAGGCACGGGCTCGCGCCTGTGCATTACGGCCACTCCACGCATTTATCTCCGGTCTTACACGGGTGCGGACACCGTCAGACAGGGGCTCGGCAGGACGCCCGAAACGCTGGTGGCTACGCGCTCGTCGACGTCCTTTCCGACGGGACGGGAGCGCGGCGCCCGGCGCCCAGCCCCGACGCGGGACAGTTACCGCTCCGCACGGAGCTCGCCCTGCAGCAGCGGAGGCGGCTCCGCGGCGGCGCTACCTGGTTGGAGGCGGCGAGCTGCGCTCCCGCGCGCCGCACCGCCAGCACCAGCTCGTTGCCGTCGTCCAGGAAGCTGGCGAGCTCGCGGCTGCCGCAGAGCGCCGCGGCCGGCTCCAGCCCGAAGTAGTTGGCGGCGGTGGCGGCGAGGAAGCGCTTCCTGACGTCCCGCTCGGCGGCCATGGCGCGGGACCCGCCGGGACCCGCCGGGATCCGCCGGGATCCGCCGGGACAGGCCGCGGCGTCCGCGCGCCGCCGAGCCCGTCGCTATGGCGACCGAAAATGGCGGCGCGTCACGCGCGTCGTAACGACACGGGGTGGGAGGGAAGCGCGGGGATGGCGCCGCCCACGCAGGGGGGCGTGTCCTCTGCGCAGGCCCCGCCCCTCCCGGCGCCGCGGTCACTTCCTGCTGCGCGGCGTCTGCGTCCGGGTCGTGCCGCTGTTCCCCGGAGCGGCCGCAGCCGCTGCCGCTGCCGCCCGGCATCGCGCCCCGC